TCATGAAGATGTGTTCCACATATGATTGGGACGCAGACATCGGCAAGAATCTGCAGTCTGCTCGACCTTATTGAATCATCGGCGAACAGCAAAATACGAGTCAGCCGAATGCGCGCAACAGGCCCGACTTGTCCCTCCATCGCAACCACTGGTTTCAGGGTCGGCTGCTCCACGCTTCGAGCGCGCAAGCAAGCCAAGAGGGAAGAATTAACATGGGACCGAGGTCAACTTGGTCTTGCTGACATTGCGCATGACATAACCACTTCGAAGCTCCAAACACTGGTTGCCCCGTCCGCAGTCTGCTGATGTCTGCTGGACGGCGCACCATGTAGCAAGACCAACTAATTCAACTTGGCATTGATCTCGTCTGAGTCAACTTGCCATGCCGCAATATTTCTTGCAGGCATTTGTGGTGCGGTGAGACTAATCTTTATTCACAAATTCTGCGATCCACAATAATGTGTCTCAGGAGCGTCGTCACTAATTGATTGACGCATCGAAAAGTCTATGTCTTGTCCCAAATGCTCAACAATGCAGAGTGATGGTTTTGTCGTTAGTATGCAGGATAAACGAGAACCGGATTGAGTAGATTGAGACTGTGTTCAAGTGTCTAACCAAGACCTGCAACTGATGCATCTGACATGCCAAGGCTCTCTGAATGCCCAAGACGTTTGCCGCGTGCCAACATGGTTCCAAGAGAGCAAGCTTCTGCAGGGATCACAGGCGACTTGCCATCGCTCTCAGGTGTCATTTGATTCCCTGGCGAGGGGATACGTGATGATTTGCCAAAATGCGGTACATAGTACAACTTCGGCTGCTTGGGCTACACTTACAAGCACTGCTCAGGGGTGCATTTAATGGACATGTATGGTGTCGGACCCCAAAAAAATGAAGCCATCGCTCTGTCGAACACCTCACACCAGATCTGGCCGAAGACGACACACGTCGCGATCCTAAAATCCTACGATGTCACATTCACCGAATACGACAATGTGGTATGTGACGGTATGTGTCAAAACAGGGGAACCTCCACTATGGCAATGATCCTTTTAGTGTCCATTCAAACCACGCCAAAAGGGTACCCTCAATGACTCACAAAACACACACAAACACATATCTCATGTCCCACCGGAAAAAGAACCTCTCTCATGTCTCGCCTCTCTGGCTCCGCCGTCGCCGATGCCGCTGTGGCCGCTGCGGGCGGCAGCTGCACGGGCGCGGCTATGAGTGGCCTCGGACCCCGATGGCGGACATAATTTGTTCAAAGACCTTAATACCAATTCACCTTCATCTTTCTGGGGCTCCTCTTAAAACTTGTTTCCACGATTTCCTATCCCTATGACCATTTAGGGGGGGGGGCTCAAAACTCAAGAACTTGCAGGGCTCAGGGATGATCAGGCATGCTCATAGGGGCTCCGCACCTTTTACACGTATCCGACCACTCCCCGTAGACCACCGCGAATCGCTCGTAGTCCTGGCACCAGCCACAGCTGAGATTAAGCGAAATTGCTAGGTCTGCTCCACGGGAATCGCAGTGCTTGCTCTTCAAGAGTGGGGTGGCCAACATGGGCTTCACAGTGGCAAAATGCAACAGGCAAGTTGATTGACCCAAATGCTGTCCTCAACGTTTCGTGGCAGATCCAGAGTCCTGTAGGGCACCTGCGTGGACACAAAATTTGCTGCAAGCCAATTCGCGGCTTGTCATTGGAAGGATGTTCCAACAGGGATATCGTAAGGTGGTCATTCCTCATGTCGTGTGTCCTTTCAGTCTCAAGCATGATAATAGCAACTGACTCCCTTCGGGTCTAAGCCGCTAAGCACATGCCCGGTTTAATTGTCACATTGGTTCAAAGTCACGAAGCCCAGCAATGTGTGGAGGCCAGCCTTGCAGTTCACTCACATCCAGGATTGGAGCTCATGTGACATTTAACAAATTGCACAATTATTGGCATAACATCGGAAACCCGTGATGGGAAGCAACTGCCCAGCACCCGCAGAACCGGTCGAACAAATTGCGTAGCGTAGTATTCAAATAAATTGCGTTGGGCCCGCATTGCTTGAGAGGCATTGTGCTGCAAAAGTATATCAGCTAGCAAGTCATTGACATATTCAATGCCTTGGCTACCTTCACGTCACCGGTTCACCCTTCCAGCCACAGGCACGTCTGGCACTGGAGGTGGCTGGTAGCCCATCCTGCGCACTGAGGCGGAAGTTCGGAAGAAAGTCGGGCGTGCGCAACAGGCACAAAGCCGAAGGTGCGTTGCCCTGCCTGGGAAGCAAACCGTGCTGGCGTCCTGGTGCAGGCCGGTTGCCAAGTGCGCCGCTTGGTTGTTTGTGCTTTCAGAAACTATGAGCTGCTGTCCATGCTTTGTTCAGTTGCAAGCCAGTCGCAACCAGCCTTCTTCACTGCTTTCCTGTCGCACGCTGCGCTTGCGGTCGATGGGGGGCAAGCTCTGCTGCCGCGCCTGAACCAGGTCCGTGTTTGGAAGGCTGGCAAGTGTTGAACGACGCTCGGAAATCCTCCCCTTTGTCTGAGGTCCAATGAAATCTATCGACTCGTCTGCTGCCCGTCCTTCTTGGGCTGCGTTTCCTCTGGCGGCATTCCTGCGAGCTGTAACCCACCTTTTCAGCAGAAGGCCTAACAGCAGAGCCATGGAACAAATCAAATGGAAAAGAAGCTCCGTTGGGATATATCTTGGAGAACTCAAGCCACACCTACATGGTTCGCTAAAGGGTCAAACTGTCAGACAGCAAACATGGAAGCCGATCCTTTCGCCCCGCCTCGCAGGCCTCGGGCCGAGTAGCAGCTAGGTGCCTGGGCACGAGCTACATGCCCAGACCTTTCGTGCTGCGAGGGCGACACTCCCAGTACGTTTTCTCAAAAGTATGCAGGCGCTGATAGATCCAAAAAGGCTCCTGCCTACCTACAGGCAAGGTGCCTAAAAGGCACTCCTACTTTCAAAGTAAGCTTGAAGCGCATGGCAAAGCAAGCAGAGACGTTATCGCCCTCTGACTCTCAAGGCACGTTCGTTTAGCAAATACTCTAACTGCGTGAGGCACCTCTTCTTCGCCGGAGAAAATCATGCCCTCTCAATCTCTGGAATTGCCTCGTGGGGCAAGGCCTTGCGGTTGGTGCCTGGCAGAGATTGACAGCTGAGCAGAGGGCCCCCCGTGAGTCAAAATGGTCTGCCCAGAGCGATGTAAAGAATTGAACAGGAGGCTGCACCCATTTATGGTTGGGATTCTCCCTTACTGACCTTCATCTACCCAGGTTGTTACTGGGGCTACCGTATCCTTGCTGACGCATATGATCACGATCCACAGAGCCGATATCATGGAACCATTGATCTGGCTTCGTTCGAGCATCGTATTGCGATCAAAAAGCTTTACTCTTGCCAAGGGGGTTGCATCGCAAGCTTGCGAGGCTGTCCTGTATATAGGTTTGCATTGTGTCTGTCATGCACTTGTTTTCCACCAAACTGTTCAACCAAAACCAGCCTCCTGGCAGCAGCGCAGCGCCAGTCAGCTCCTCACGCCGGGGTCCGTTGGTGCAGAAAATGCGGTTTGCACCTGGACCTGCGCCAAGTTCATGACCTGACAAGCCCAGTCCTCCGTCATGCACGGGTCGGCCATGATCAAATGGTACCGTGTCTGGAGGATGACCTGGGAATACAGCTGTGGAGCATGCAGCGTAAGTGGAGCACCCGACGTTTCCCAATCTCCCAAAGCCCTCAACGAGCACGCCAGTGCCTCTCTGTTCCGCATTCCACTGGTTGCCAACCATGCAACCCTTGTTGTGCAAAACCACCATTGCGCGTACAACTTGTTTTCACTAGACCACAGCAATGTTGCAACAAAACTCGGAAAACTCAAAAAGTGTCGAAAAATATAACACTCCTGAACGCTCTTCGACAATGCAACTCGTTTCACCTAACTGTGCCAGCGCTCCAGTTTCTCCGGGAAGGATCCAGTCCACATCCCATTTGCCAACGGGTAGGTCGAGAGGAATCGCGACTGCGATGTGTGCCCTGGACTGCCAGGCTCCACACAATTAATGGCACGGCCCTCGCAAAAGCGGAAGACCTCCAGAATACTACTCATGTTTTGCCTGGTGCTTTTCTGACCAAGTTATCAAGCTGTGTTTCCAAAACCCACCCTTGCTCAGCCACCGACGTCCTTTTCTGACACAATGGACGCAAAAATAAAGTTCAGCACGCCATCCGCCGCCACCTCGCTCAAACGTCAAATGGTGGGCACTTGCATGCTTCAAGTATTCGAGGTAATGTCAGCGATCGCACAAGAAGTCAACCCGCCGCTCGCAAACACTAAAGAAACCGAAAACGGCAGGTATGACAAAAAGACCTGACGCAAACAAGTTTGCAGGGACCTCCTAGTGCCGCCTCACGCCTGACTGAGTCATACCCGAGTTTGCGCAGGGGATTTACGTCGGCCAACCATTTTTGAGGCTGTTCTACGCCGGGATATGAGCAGCGACCTTTGATCAAAGGACGCAGCTGTATACGTCGGCCGCAACGCGCGGTCCGACACGATGAGCGAAGCACAGTCTCATGGAGGAAAAACAACAATGGGAGAGGGTTCCAAGAAGAGGGACGTAGCAATGTTGCGAGGCTATGGCGATTTACCACCACCCCGCAATCAGCAGCGCTGTGGCTGCTGTGGTTTGAGGCCTGTTGCAGCGGTACGCGCAAGTGTAGCTGGCTGCAGCGCAAGGGCCACAACGATGCCATGAATCGGCTCTCGCTGGAGCGCCGCAGAATAGCTTCTAAAGCCTCGGTTTCCAACCCGGGTGAAACTGAGTAGTATTAGAACTGCCTACTGTTCATTTGGGAATGACTTTCAATCTGGGACCCTCTGGTGGACATCATGTATATTGGGATTTACGTCCACCCTTGCGGAGGGTGTCCACTAAAACTTCTTAACCATCTGAGAACTTCTTTTTCTTTGCTCGGCCGCAGAGATACCCGCGCAGTGAGAGAGGCTCAAAAGGTGCGTCTTGCCGTGTTGGTGATTCCAGCACCGACACAAGAGAAGACCACGGTGCCGCCGTCGCCCTGGTCCTCGCGGATCTGGAAAACAACCCCCAGAAAGTCCCGGATGTGTCGCAGCATCTGAGCGGCAGCTGGGCTCAGCCGTGACAAGCGCACCCGGCTTGGCTTTGTCTCCTCGCCCAGACTCAAGAAGTACAGCACCATGGCTTGATGGGTTGTATCCACCACCCCGTCAAGGTCGATCTCTGCCAGGAGACGCCAGGCTGCCTTGCAACCCACACTCTCGGGGGTAATATCCTCGTCAGCTTCCGCACCGATGCCGGCACATGCATCCGATGACTTGAGACTCTGGGCAATGGTTTCCGCCACCAAGGAGATGCCATAGCCAGGTGACAAACCACAGGCCTCGCCCTTGCAGTGGTCCGTGTAGACCCAGACATCTGGCAGGAAGTCGTTGAGGATCCCCCGCGCAGCGTCGACCATGCGTGCGGAGAACTGCGGGCTAACTTTGGTGGTGTAGGCCACGCCCCGCACTCGCTTGACCTTGCCCTCGTTGAGGAGCTCCACTGGTTGGATGGCTTTGGCGATGGGGCAGCTAAAAGTAACCTCGCCGCCACCCTCTGGCGGTGCTCCGCGCTTCAAGATCTTGAAGCTCAGCTCCTGGATGCCAAACTTGGCCATCAGCGGCAGCGTGGCCGTGCGGAAGGTGTCGCAGGACACGTCTTGCATGCCGTTGGTGACGCCCTTCAATCGCACAGTCAGGGGCAGTTTTGCCAAGGGTGCCAAAAGCAGCAACCCCTCCAGAAAGTATGTCACACATCGGCTGGGCGGACACGTGTGCACCAAGCCGCTGCCACCGATGATTTGACCAGGCCGATACTTCAATGTCGTACCTGTTTCATCAATGTTGATCTCCGAACCATCACACAGTTTGTCCAAGAGTCTTACGAATGACGCCTCATAATCTTTCAATCCAGGCTCCTCATCCTGTGAGCGGATGTCCGTGATCACAATGGGTCGGCCACTGACAGTTGAAAGCACTAACCGCTGCCGCAAAAAGTTGCTTCCACGATACCTGAGGACATTGCTCTTCATCAATGGATGCACTAACCATCTGAGAACTTCTCCTCAGCCGAAATCACTGGTTGTGGGTTGGCGGAAATGAAGAAACGAGTCACCAACCACCCAAAGGAATCCTTCCCACGGGCTCTGCCTTGAAGTGCAGCGCTACGTGCTGGTGGGGCCCAAGGAATAGCATCTGCCTGCCATCACACTCTCCATCTGTGTCAAGTCAACCCCCCCCCCAACCAAAAAAAAAGAGTAGACTTGTCTGATACCCGAAACAAGACACACCCATATGAAGAGGCGTGGAAGCTTCAACTTTCGTTGCCTAAAGGTGGCTGCGAATACTTGGTGCCGGAGCGAAGCCTGCCCTTTTTTCCTTCAATTTACAGCACGCTGCCACGCCCGCCCCCTCTAGCCATGCACGACCATTTCTAACTCTCGTGGGAGTTTCGGTTGTGTGAGTTGCTTGGTGGGTTTGTGTGGGCTTTGTGGGTTTTCTGTGGGTCTTGTCTGGGTCTCGTGCGGGTGTTGGAGCCGTTTGGTGGGCTTTCATGGGTTTTTGTGTGCGTTGTTGGAGGGGTTTGTGTGGGCTTTATGTGGATTTCATGTAAGTTTTGAGAGGGTTTTGTGTAGGTGTTGGGTGGGCTTTGTGGGCTTTGTGGGGTTTTGTGTCTGTGGGTTTCGCGCGGGTTGTGTGAGTTTTCCTTGGGAATTGGATGGGTCTCCCCACTCCACACCCCACGCTCCACACTCCGCACACAAACACACACACACAGACACGAATACGCTCCACACTCCACACTCCACACACACACACACACCACCCACCAACCACACACCACACACCCCAACACCACACACCGCTCACAACACACACCACAGGCCACACACGACACACAACACACCACACACCACACATCGACACACGACACACGACAAACGACACAAGACACACCACACAACACACTCCACACTCCCCATTCCCCACTCCACACTCCACACTCCACTCCCCACTCCCAACCCCCAGATGCAAAGCAAAGATTAATCAACCATCAGAGTCCTCAAAACAAATACCAAACCAAATCAAACATATACCAGTCATCAAAATCGAACATATTTCAAAATCAATTGACATGTTCATTCAGGCACCGCAGCAGAAGTCGGCGGAATGAGCCGGAGGCTCTAAAGTGTATATACACACCTTCTTGTTTTGCTTCTCTTCACGATCACCTCGACAAATAGTATTTCTGCCAACTGGATGCTGTAAAACCCAATACTACCAGCCACAAAGTTCTGATTTGCTTGCTCGTTGAGTTCCGCGCGCGAAAAACACAACTGCACTCTTCAACTTAATGGGAGAATCTGGGCCACGTCAACCCCTTCTGGCCTTACCCTCTCCTGCTCAATGCGCCGATTCAAGGTCTCACTGGCCGCCAGGATCAAATCCTGAGCAAGGCTAGAAGAAGTGGAGTGGTCCCAACCATACGTTGCAAGATGCGGCAGCATGCCAGGCACGCAAATACGAGGGAAACAACATTGGGCTCCCCCCATCTCAAACACCTTGCCTCCATGTGCGGGTGCCGATGGTTCCGGTAGCGGCTTGCTAGGCTAGAAAGGCCTGGCAAGAGCATAATTGATGCAATATGCCAAGAGCATGTCCAGCTTCAGATCTCATAGTAACACTCGATAAAATTGTCCCCTGGAGATCCTTAGTGGCATGCAACAAGGCTGCCCCATAGCAACATTTTCTCGAGCGCAAAGGTTCAAGTACCCTGCGCCTTCCCAGCCCTCGAAGGTGGCACATCGGTCGAAGATGTTGCCCCCTGCCGAGAAACGCTGGGAGGATGCCGCATGGAAGGCCAAGATGGATGTCGGAGTACAGCTGATGTTGAGATCTTTGACAGGCCATGCCTCTTTTTCAGAAGGGCCTGCAACGAAAACGCGTTGATCGGCAATGCCAAGCATCCAACCGATTCCGGCGTGCCTGTGGCCAGCAATGAGCGATTTGTTCGCAGTGACAACGAAGTCTGGCGCCGGAACTCAACCTAGCCATGCTCTCCACAGCAGCTTCGACCGGTGGGGGGAGACAAATTCAAACGTCCCAGACCGTTGCATCTGATGCCTGCCGGAATGGCAGTGAGGACGGCTCCTTTTCGACCATCCTTCCGAGACCTTTGACTGCTATCTTTCAGCATCTTCATAGTTGGCCCATCCGATTCCGCAAGCGCCGATAAATCTAATCAAAAGTAAGGTTCCCTCCCCTTAGCCCACTTGTGTGAAAAGAAAAACTTGTGTGTCTTAAAAATCTGACCTTGGCCAAAAGTTGAGTCAGGATTTGGCAGGGTCTCGCTTAGCCCCGGGCTGTGCGCACCAGCGAGTTGGACACACCGTGGGGCTGCACGAAGCCCTGAATGATGCCCGAGTGGCGATCCCTGGCGCATCCGTGTGCAGTTAACACCTAGCATCCAACCGAGCACATCCGACTCCAAGCCCTGACCCACGCACATGTTCGGATGACGCGAACCACCTTCATCCTAGCGCTGGGCAGTTGGCACTGCTCTTGGCAGAGAGGGACCCCGATCAAAATCGCAAATTATGTCACCGACTGTTGCGTGCAATCTTCAATTGCTTTCTGAGGTCAACGGAGATGGCCTCAGGCACATAATGAACTCCTGCAAGCCCTTCACCTCAACAGGGCCACAAATCAAAGGCTTTCGTGCCTCTGGCTTTGGCATTTCGTTGTCATTTTGCAAATGGCTTGCACCCGACGTACCGGTGTCACACGCCATGCGCCCATGCGGGGAGCCCCCCTCCGCCCAAGCCGCCGCACTGACAAGAACTCCGCATATGGCGTCGGACTTCTTGCCTGTCGTGAGCAAAAGCAGAACAGAGCCAGAACAGCCGCCACAAAACCTATGACTTGTTGGTTTCTAGGGATTCTACGACCGACATGCTGCACAACTACACGCCCGGCACCTCCGGGAACTGGGAGGCCATTGGCCTGAGCTTCAAATGACAAGATTGCTCGGAGAACATGAGTGACACCTTCTGAATTCTTCCGCACAATCCAGGAACAACCACTCCCTAGCTCAAAGTCTCAAAGATTAACAAACACGCAACGAGAGAAAATGTGCAGCCGCACTGACGAGGCCGTGCATTCCAAGGACCATCCAAGCAGCGCTGAAGCAAGGTTCTCAGCCATGTATCAACATCTCACAAGAAATGATCACGGAAGGATCCAAAGGCATCACTGGCCCTGTGCAGCTTTGAAAGAACAAGCACTCGGTTTGCTGAACCGTCCCATTTAAAAGGGTGCCCTTTGGGGGGTTTGCAAGCTTCTGTTCGAACCATCAATTGCAATTAAGAATTTGTAGACCATCACTTCCTTGCAAAGCCTGACCGCTTCTCAATAACATGGAAGCATTTGGACCAAATCCTCTTCAGCGAATGCTCTCTCTGCAGCACGAGTACATGCTCATCAGCAGATGAATCATCTTCAGAGATCATTATATGGGGGAAAAAAAAAAGCAGAAAGGGCGCTAAAAGACAAACCCGAACATGTCAATGTCCACCACCTTCTCAGCACCTGACAACCAAACAGCGCAGGGTCGTGCGTCGCGGCTGTCCTCCTTGTCCCGGTCGCCAACAAGCCTGGCATCCGACTGGAAGTGGCGCAAAAGTGAGTTTTCAACACCCAACAAAATGCTTTTTCAAGCCACAGCATGAGGCGCGGAACCCGGCATTTGACTGGGACCGGCGCTTCTTCTCCAGCAGCGACAGACTAAGGTTGCCCTCGCTTTTCCGGAGCAGGGAGCCGTCCTTCTTGCCTGGCACGCGAGATTGCTGGAGATCATCTTCAGTTTGTCTGGATTACGTTGGGCTGGGTCTGCCATTCTCGGGGTTTGCAGCTGCTCGCTAGTATTGCAACGGAACGCAGCCTGAGCTGTCCTGTCACCTACCAATCAAGCTTTGCCCTACCCACTCAGCCCGGTGTTCGGTGCCAGGCTGAGGCCGTGGCTTATAAAGTACCAGGCGTAGGGCTTGCCCTGGGCTGCGCTGACATGGAGGATTGCCTCTGAGCTAAATGACTGAAAAGGAGCCAGGAGAACCAGAACACTCGGGCCGGGGAGGACTTGAACGTCCCTTCATATTGAGGAACAAATCTGCCAGGCAGTCGGGCAGATTAGTCCCTATTAATTGTGTAAGGTGCAGCAGCTTTCCCGACTGGGTCATGCGATCAGGGACAGATTCGGTGTCTGCCGTGAACATGCTACGTGTATAAAAGAATGAGCACAGCCATCAAGTACGCAATCTTCCTAAACAGCTCCCAAACACTGCCAGTAGCAACTCCATGTGTTTCATCTGTGCACCCCTTGTAGGTAGCGACAGCCCTGCACTCCAGCCTTCGCGATGACAACCGTGTCCGGAATCGTAAAGCCGAAGTTTTCCACAAAGCCTTGGGCTTTGGCACTCAGCTCAATCGCGAAGCCAGCCACTGAAGCCCCAAATTGGCCGTGCCAAGACCTAAGCCCTCGGACGGCTCTTCTTTCGATGACCCCAGCGCCAGAGAAGCTCGTAGAGCTCTACTATGCACCTCAGTTTGCAGATAGATGGAAGATGCATGATCAATTGGCAGATCGTGAAACTGCCTACGGACTAATCCCTCGTGATTGCAAAGTCTCCAGAACAGAAAGATGAGTGGTTCTGATCACTCTCTAAAGCAATCTCGAACAGCGATGTTTGGCATCTGGAATCACCGGCACATCATGCTGGGATGGTTCGGAGTCCAGCTCCAGGCCATCAACCAGAAACCCGTGCCCCCCAAGAAAAAAAGCACCTTGTAAACAAATCGATGCTTTACCAATAGGCAGTGCAGCCAAGCCCATCTGTATCGTCGATTCCTTGGAAGCGCTCGGCGCCCGGGCTCGCAGGACACCGCCTTCTGGTCCCCGCTTCGCAACATTTGGGCATCCTGAGACATGTCCACGCCAGCGCGCATGGGAAAAACGCAGCGGCGATCAAAGTTGGGTGCTTTGAGGCTTTGAGCTTGGAAATTTAGAAGCCACTTTTGGGCAAGCGATCTGCAGCTTGGGACACGGGGCTTTGCGTGGCCTCGCGGGGCGAAATGATCGAGGCGAACTTCTTGCTAGAAACGTCCTGGCGGGTGCATTGCGTGCCTGAATCTGAAGCAAGGCACAAGGTCAAGACAAGTTCTCTTTTTCTCGTCTGGATCCCGAGGCTACACTTGTTGCATTCCCCTGCTTGGACAAAGGCAAGACGCCCAAAAGCCTCCACCTCACTTCCTTGTTTGAGCTTTGGGGTAAGCTGCCAAACCATCCAAACCCTTGCAATGCGGTGACTCCGTCGGCACCTCGTCGTAGACCCTGCGGATATGCTCCATCTCGTGGGGCAACAGCGGCGCCATGGCCTGTCACAAAGGGAGACGGAGCGGAGAGGGAGAGGGAGACATGTATTCTGTATACATACATATATGTTATATGTTTCGTACATTATTCATTCCTCCCCAAACGGCCATCTTTTGAGGATCCGTTGTCAGAAAGTCACAACTGTTTAGCACCAAGGCAGTACGCTTCCACAGCTCTCCTCAAAAGGCGCCGCCAACCAAGAGCACCAAACTGGCAAGCAAAGTGTGAAAGTGCGACCTCACACATCGTTGACTTAGAAGATAACGGTTACGCGAAACTTTCGCGGAGAAAATACCTTCACCGCTCCTAAACAACCATGGTCACCGAATACTAAATTCCTTACAAGGACCTTTAAGTCAACTCCCACATGTGTACGTCGTACACGTGTGTGCGTGCTTCACCAAGGAGCATGGCAGGGCTGCCTGCCTTCCTTCCATTGTCACTGGCACGTTGAAACCGTGATGACAACATTTGGACCAAACAAAAGAGAATCAAAGAACAACCAAAAGACATGCACGCATTTCTTGCAACGTGGACTCCAGCATGCAGAGTTGAGTGATGCTTCTCCCGGGCGAACCCTGCCTGCAACCGTGCCAAGTGCTCGGCGCCCATGGCGAGCGGCAGGTTGCGAAATGCGCAAGGTGACCAAATTTGCCTCCGTCTAAGTGTCCCAGGAAGTCCGAAGTAGGTCTGAGTATGACTTTGTGAGAATGACTCCGGCTGGCGAGGAATTGCTTTTGTTTGTTGTCAACCACACTAATTATGTCCTACAATTGGGCTGCCTACGGTTTCCGAAGCTCTGGATTCTTGCGGCGCAGTGCGCGGGTGGAAGCTTGACTTGGGCAGCCCCCTGGAAGGGGGAAACATGTGGGTGCTTCCATGTCACTTGATGAAAGTACTCTAATGGCTACGAGCCACAGGCCCACAAAACCAAGCGGCACAGCGAGAGACGGCCCAAGGACAAGCAACCTGGCGCAACGGCGGACAACCTGCTCATGTGGTCCATATGCTTGTTCTAACGTAGACATGCTGACATGCCTCTGCTCCTGACTTGATCAACTGCGTCCAGGGAGTCTCCAGAGACAAGTCCGGCGTCCTGTTGGCCCTGTTTTGCGCGAAAGAGGCTCTCGGGTCCGCAAAGCGTATACAAGTCGAACCGTGGCAGCCGGCCTTTGTGGCTCGCACTGCATCAAAAGCCCCCGAATTACAAACATGGGTTCAAAACCGGTTGGACACTTGACCATCCCTGGAGGCGATTGTGCCACCAGTGTGAGCGAGCAACCGTCCAGTTCTGGCCAAAAGCATCCCAGGCACAAAGCTTCAGCAAGGCAGGCGAACATTATCATTCAAGCCAGGCCAGCTCAGCTACAAGAGTCGATTCACCGCTGAGAGTGGGTTACGCTGTTCCACAGGTCTTTCAAAGATAGCAGGCTGTCCAGGACAGCTTCATTGAGGAGGGTAGGAAGAGCCTTCCAAAAACTGGAGCCGAGGAACAGAGCTCACAGCAACTATGCAGCTGTACAGCGAACTGCCGATTGGCGTTCCATCGCGGAATTCTAAGCGACCGTCGAGCAGGTGCCTCAACAGCAAAACGCAGGAGCTGAAGGAATAAATGTATTCTTGCTTGAAGCTGATCACTCTTAAGTGCCGAGTTGCAAATGGCTGGATCCGTGTTGCAGGGCCACCATTTGTAGCCCTCCGCGCACCGTTGGCAGTTCCTGGGATGTCCAAGCACAAAATGCGCCTCTCCTCATCAGACTGACTATTTGAAGAAAAAAGCCTCCTTGACAATTGAGGAACCTTTGTAATCAAAATGCAGAGCCAATATTCATGCATCAAAGTGTTTCAGCTGCTCGAAATCTCCCAAGCTGAAAGAACCGCTCATTCCTTTTGCTTTCGCCCTCCACCGTTCATGTCCAAGCAACAGGCAAATCAGAATGTTGTTAGTAAAGAAAATGTAGGAACTGTGCATTGATGGTTGGCACCCCATTGCCCCTCACAACGCTCGCTTTTGTAACATGGTCCGAATGCGCGTAGAGGTTTATAAACCTGTCCGCGTCAACCAGCCAGCAACCCCCGAAAAGCCGAGGGGCGCCGCTGTGGCGCCGTTGGGCGGCAGCCCCTGGCACCGAGGCGTCGCTCTTGTGTGTGTGTGTGTGGTAGGAGACAAGCCGAAAGCACACCGGATCGGCGAGCGGCATCCGAATTCCGCCTCAGTCGGCACGCAGGTCAAGGATCCAGAGACTGAGGTGGTCGTGGTCGAGGTGGTCGCGGTGGTGGCTTGGGTAGTGCTTGGCGTAGTGGAAGTCGCCTAACACAAATGCACCTATGCTGAACAATCGCAGGCTGAACACAGCAGGTTTTGCCAAAGAAAACAAACCCACCCAGAAGCACAAGGCATAGAGATGCGGCTTCAAGCAACTGAGCTGTTGTACTTGATTTTTGCGGTGTTGCTTCTTTTCGGGGCCATTTATGGTCTTTGTGGTGCAGCGTTGAAGTGGCTGCGAACGCAGCTCTGGAGTACAAGACGTGTACGTTGCACATGTGAGCAATAGACAAGTCGACTGATGGTGAGCAGTGCTGCCAGTCTTACGGCACGTGCGGCATTGTTTGAAATGGCATCCACATCCACAGAAATATATTGTGGTACAGATCTATCAAGACGCGCCAAACTAACAAACAGGATCACAAGCGTCTGGTGTTTGCTACGACCCCACCTTCATGCTGGCCACAAAACACGCGCACACACACACACAGGGACTTGCTGTGCTCTCACCAACGCGAAAACAACATGTCGCAGACTCCAAAGGCAAAGACACGGGCCTCCACAAGATGGAGTCATATCGTCTCAGGTCTGTTTGTTGAGGGTACCCCCTTTTGGTGTGTTAAGGGAAACCCAAAGGGAAAACCACAATTTCAAGGGTTCGTTAAGAAAAGACAAACTCACATACACACGGATTTATTCTTGGCTTCCTTCTAAACAAACCTCCAAAAGGGGACACCCCCTTGAGCCGTTTGAACAATGGTTCCAAGACCACGAACACCAGTAAAATCAAACCTCCCAAATCCACCCTCCTGGCAGTCGCAGAGCTGGCCAGCGCACGGCCAGGCCTAGCAATGCTCAATTTGCGTGGCTAGTGACCTTTGGCATCTCCTTTCTGCCTTCGGGTATTGATTGCCCAGAATTCATAGCCGCATGAGCCGCTGACAATCAAAGTATGCGGCTCGTCCAATGAATACGTGAGTCCCCTCACTTTTTTGGCAAATTGTGCGAGTCTCCCGATGTCCCTCCCAAATAGATCAGACTACTGGAAATGTTGAAAGAACCGCACATGGAGACTCCAGGCGCAATAAAGAACTGTCGCTACGCCAGGCCACGCCCACAGGCAGAAGCGCACAGGCGGAGACACACCGGGCATCACTGCCGCCGAAGGAAAGGGAGGCTGCAGTGGCGCGGCAGCCCTCAGCAGGAGTATGGCACTTCAGTTCTCGTTGGGGCACATTACCCTCATTTGCTCCTTGTTTTTTGTTACTCCTTACTTAGGGTTTACCTCAAGTTGGTCCAGGGTCTGGGGGGTGAAACCCTCGAAATGCGGATGTGGGAGCCTGCAATTTGGAGGAGGCAACCAACAGTTTAAGTGTCATCAATTGACTTCCGGAGCCGCTGGTGGGCAGGCCTAAGATGCTTCCAGGATATAGCCTGAAAGCAGAACTTTGAAATGATTCTTGAAATCTCACGTGGCTTCTGAAGTTCCTGAGAGGCTTGTGAGACAGGATCAATACGTTTGCTACAATCAACGCTGAATGCAGCTTAGGCGCTGATGCCGTAGTTGTGGCCTGCGCAGTGGTTGTTGTTGGCGCGGCTGTGGTCGTTGTAGCCACCGTTGTTGTCATCTGCGTTGTAGCCGGAGTAGTTGTTGATGTTGTTGAACTCGTGCCTAGAGCTCTCCCCTTAACAGGCCGCTTTGCCACACCTCATGCAATGTTAATCAAGCCTTGCAGCACAAGAACAAGCGCGATACGAGAGCTGAATGGAATGAGTTAGCTCCAAAGTTAGATCAGGGCGTCTGACTCCGCGCAGAAATCTGCGCATCAACAGGTTTCTACCAGGCTTGAATCAGCCTAGCTGCACCTGACCTCATCTTGCAAGAATTGAAGTTCAAACAGCCTCATATACCTGCTCCACGCCTTCATTCCTTGCACTTGGCCAAGCAGCCAGCGAGGCACGATCCCACCAGGTTGTAAGCTTCCTAAGCAATCAGGCAAAAGAGCTAGCTGATCCAAACTGCCTGCGAAGGCAAATCTGACGATCAGTAGCTGTTGTCGTTAAATCAGCGGCCTTCTCAAGTCTCGACTTGATGTTGGGGTCGAACATCCAACAGCTCTTGCCGTGTGCTGAAAGCAGCAAAATCAGGGCAAGCCTCTGAGCGGTCGACCACACGCGAAAGGATGCATTGGGTCTGCCGATCGAAAGACTTGTCGAACAGGTCCTCGCCACACCCGGGGATGACGCCTCAGAGGCACCCTCAAGACTCTTGGACGATATCATGGACCTCTCCAAACATTCAGCAAACTTTCCGCCAAGAGCAGGTCTCCATTCACATGCTAAAATCTGTTGGCATTCTCCAGGCCAGGCAAGCAAGATTTTGCGTGGCTGGGGCTTTGAGCTTTGAGGGCGTGATTTTGGTCCACCCGGGGCAATTCACCACTTCAGGCCCAAATCTGGTCCCCCATACTCGCCCCAGGACAGCTGTTTAGGGTATTTGGCGTGCTTAGAGTGTTTATGTCTTTTAGGGCTCTCAGAGTGTTCAGGGTCTTAGGTTTAGGGTGTTTAACATTCAAGTTTAAGATTTGGTCTAGGGTTTTTGGGATTTAGGGATTAGAATGGAGAAAGATGCAAAAACAACCCAAAACACTGGCCCGGTGCTGTTCGCCAATGTTTCCCGAGGTGTTGGGGCAGACATGGATTGGCCACACTCCCGGTCCCGCATTCTATATATACGTCGAGCGGCGGTTTGTGAGCTTGTACCAGGCAGCTGCAGACTTCCAGCCGTAGGCGGCGGTCTGAAAGAAGTCCTTGCCCATCGCACTGGAGATGCTGGCGTAGTTCCTGGGCTTCGCTCTCCGGGTTCAGACAGCTTTGAAGCGTCCAAACAAGGTATATTTCTGGGGCAGAATCAGAAGGTAGGGTACAATGACTAGGGCACAGCGGTAGAGTTCTGGCGCGACTGGTACGGGAAATGGCACGACTGAGTATCGTCCCAGGAGTTATACCAGCACAGACCCCAGATAGCAAGAATGCTCTGTCGCCCAACACAGTGTTGGAGCACTAAGACTGGCGTTGGCTGTTGGTTCCCTTGGTTCCGGAAATATGGCGGCACCAAGTGCCAGACCCTCCCCAACCCTTCCAAAAGATTCCGATATTGCGACCCATGTCGCACGACCCAAACCCATGCTCCAGCTGCCTCCAATCTGGGGCCCAAACCCACGGCTAGCCTCGCATCCAGCCAGAAACCCCCTAGGTCAAGTTCCTCGTCAACCCATCAAGAAACCGGCCTAAAAACCAGTCAAACCTGTCTCAGCCTAGACGTTCAGATCCACCTACAAACCCGTCAAATCTCCCTAGAAACCGGTCAAAGTCTCCCTGGTGCCGACTCATTCACTTAAACACAACACTTCAAGGCAAACCAAAACACAGCACCGTGGGCAATGGGAAGCGTTTACAATTACCACTGCCAATCCATGATGTCCGCCGACATTGTTCGGCGTGTCGGATACCTAAGAGAGGACTATTGGATACCTAAGAGAGGATAGAGGATAACCCCCCCCTTAGTCCCCCCCCGGGACACGTCAAATACGCATGGTTTTTCGGTCGCCACCCCCCCCCCTCCCCCGCGTACCGCGCGGCAATTTGATGACGTTCCACTAAACGTAGTCTTCGGGGAGCGGGTCTGGAGAAACGGGGGTCCCAGGCTCGAATCCTCCCGCCGCCTCTTTCTGCCGAGGTTTTGTGCTGCCTTTTGCGGAAAACTTTGAGACACACGGTGTTCGGTGTTTTTCCTTTGCTGACACCACTGAAAAAAAACATTGTGTTTTCCGATTTCCTTGACAATTGGCACCAATTCCCCCCCAATTTCCCCTAATTTCCCCCAATGCTTCCCCGCAAATTGCGCCTTACTTTCTCACCAATTCCCTCCCACTTTCCTTTCAATTTCCATCCGACTTCCCCCCAATTTCCCCCCCAGTTTCCCCCAAGTGTGCTGGCAAATTCCCCAACCCCAGCTTCCTTCCAAGTGTCGCCCCCAATGTCCTTCGTGTCGGATACTTGGGCCATGCTAAGCCACGCTTCTCGCAAGCAAGAATGCCGTACAAGGGGCAACCTCAACACCCCTCAGAAATCAGCTTATCCGCGCACCCCGCCAAAATGACACGCAGCGGCCATGACATACCACCCAGCACTAAGGTGCCCTAAACGGCGAGCCTTCCTGTTCGCAATTGTACGCCCTGTTTGGTCGCCACCCTTTCCCAACATTTTACTTGGAGGCATGGTTCGGCGCCCTTTTTGGGAGCACCTCTTGGTGGCACTCAACACTCCGCCGACATTGCTCGGCGTGTCGGGGAGGATGGGGGAACCAGAGAGGACAGAAGAGCATACTAGGGGGACACGGGCGAGAGGAAGAAGGAGACAAGCTAGATGCCAATGTCGGCGGACTGAGCCGGAGGCTCTAAAGTTGATCGAAGCCAACTGCCTTGCATGTTCTCAACGCCCGGAACAAAGTAGCACCTACGTACAAAGCATACCAAGTGCCTGTCCCTGTGAGAACATAACGCCAAAAAACTGCGGAACAAGCAGGGACGGATGAGCATCAAGCAGCCGCCAAAATACATAACAACATTTCCCGGCGACGAAGCAGCAGCTACGCCACAAAAAAAAGGCGACGCTTTGTCTTACACAGAATAAGCAGGGACGAATGAGTACGGTTAGGGGGCGTTCCTGCCACAAGCGGTCAGTAAAAAATGAAACCGGCAAGCAGCAGCACCCTGCAACAGCGCCCTGCGCAGCTCTATGGAAATCCGAGCAGCGCCGCTGCCATCACCTTGCAACAGCACCCTGCGCAACTCTGAGACGCAGCAAGCGCAACTCTGAGTCACAGCCTGCAGCAGCATCACTGAGCCAGCAACAGCACCTCGCAACAGTACCAGGCCGGAATTCTAAGTCACACCCACCCCTTCTTTAATTAAAGTAAGGCCCTATAGCTTTCAGCTATCCGAGGACAAACCTTGCAATTTGGAGGAGTTGCAAAACACTGCAACGTACTTCAAACTCGGCGCAAAAAAATATAGCTTTCGGCAAAGAACAATGTAACATATACATTGGCGCGGGTACAACACACCAATTCTGGCACCATACCAGTCGTGCCCCTGCTCCGTACCCTTCACCGCATTACTGAGCATGACTCTTGAATCAGCTCAAGTCTTGAAAGTCCACGCCATTTGTAGCCGGAAGAATGACTTTGCGGCTATTCCGGCAAGTTTACGTTCAGAAGAGTGAGGATGGACGTCTTCCTGCAGGCAACACAGCGTGGGACCGCAACACAAAGGTTTCGGAAGGAAGGGTTGGATCATGTGACTTTTTGTTGAGGATGTGCCTCTCTCGCAGCAAGCTTTGAGTCTTTTGCTATCAAAGCATCTGGCCCGGGAAGAGCTGGTCCATGTCAGCTGCATTGGTCGGCCAGTTTCCCGGGATCATGTGGATCAAACCAGCACCTCAGCACCGTGTCTAAGCGGCCAACGCCTTCAACCGCTATTGGAGAAACAATCTGAGCTTGAATGTCAGAAACTCGCTCTTATGTCCAGCGTGCAGATGCTGGAAGTGTAACAAACATGAAGCTAGAAACGATGAACTGATTGGGAATTGTGAAGATGCATGAGGATGTAGGGTGGACCGGGAAGGAGTCGAACCTACAAGAAGGAGACACGCGCCTCTCATGACTTGCTTGGTCACAGCCTGCCTCTGGATCCCATCCAATTGATGGCAGTTTGCGGCAGGATCAGCTCCAAAAGCTTAAAGAGGCGGTTCGCAACTGACAAAGCGTTGAAACATCAGCATTCAGACCGTCTCCACAAGACGAAAGAGGACGATGATGGCAGCTGACAGGAATTCAAACTAAATCGCTCCAACGCCCAGCAGCATCTATTTACCTGCCAGCCGGCTTTCCTTGTCACGATAACCGCGCTCTCGACTGCGGCCACGGCGCCTCCATCAGCAGGCTGGAACAAGGTAGAGTAGAAGCCAGTTTCGTAAGCCACCTGCGCCCGGCTCAAAGCTCAAGTGCCATGGTGAGCTTCACAAGTTGAGCGCAAGGAATGGAGGAAGCCAAAGAATGTTATTCAAGGATCAACCTCAACCATATTGCAAGGGCTTCTTGAAGACCCTTTGAGTTCATTTCACCAAGGACTGCTGGTATTCGTGAATGTGACTGTTCAGTCGTCAGGGGGACAAGCACTCGTTCCTGTTCATCTTGTCTATGGGGGAAGCAATAACAAATTCCGCGCAGCCCTGCCTCACTCCAAATTCAAAATGAGATATTGCCCCCTCCCGCCCTCACTGTGGGGCGGTGCTCTTTGACTTGCAGGATTCTGATGGGAGAGGGTGCGCGTTATGCTCGGACCCCAAGACAAACAACTTTGTCGTTGTGTACTTGCAAACCAGGGTGCACCAATGATCGAAAAGGCTCGGCAAGCAACCGCAGTGAGAGGGTCTCACTGCAAACATCAATGGACGCCAAGGGGGGCTGCAAAGGATGAACCCAAAGCCGACTTCAGCCAAACTTGTTCACCGGCAGCAGTCTCCGTCCGAACCGCGCGCAATGAAAGACTGACGTCGGGTCGCTGCCCCCTAGCTCATCCGTGGCTCTCACTGGGGCTTCCTTTGCAGGGGCCGGAGGGACTCAACCGAGTGCGCCGACCTGAGCCAGCAGCTTATGGATGGCATCGGCATCATTGCACTTGTTGACGGCCGGGTCCGACAGCATGTCATTCAGGGCATCCGCCCACTCCTGGCTTGTGTTTGAAAGTCTGCTTAGTTGCTCGGCATGGCAGAGAATGGTCCACAGACGAACATCAGAGGAGTGGGGTATGGGTTAGGTCGGGGTTGGGTCCAGTGTTGGATTCGGGTCAGGTCCAAGGTTGGACAAGGGTTCGGTCCCGGGTAAAACCCAAGTTTGGCAACAAGGGTAACAGCTAAGCCAGTCCTTTGAGCCAACTGAGTCCAAGACCATTCTCAAGCGGCCGCAACCCGTGGAAATACTATCCCGTGGATCAGCCAGGACAAGCCTGGTTAAGCCCTTGCTATGCTGTGGTTGCGCCAAAAAAGCCTGACATACGTTCGTATTCCTTTTCCCTTACCAGAATTGGGTTTGCCTTTGGATCGATACGCAAACTACTTCCAAAAAGCCTTTGCCCTGCCTGGTTCGTACAATCTTCACGCTTCAAGTCACGTTGGGTTGACCGCATAGCATGATTGATGTCAAGCTCCCCTCTAACATGTGTTGCAGTGTTGCAGCGGTGGCAAGTATCTTGCATACATCGTATGAAAAGGCACTCTCCTTCGTGCAATAGTGGCCAAACTCGTAGCCAGCAGGTCCAGCATTGTTCTTGGCCTGCAGGGTCAAAGTCAATTGGTCTCTGCAAGACTGAATAGCAAAGTAGCCACGCTCCCAGCCTCGTGTTAGATGCGGAAAAAACATGTTGAGTGCTTTCACAGCCCCTCTCCTAGCGGTAGAATACTATGACACAGCAGAAGTTGGCGTGCGAGCGCGTTTGGGTTGACAGGGGCATGTTCAGGTTCTGTTGCTGGGCTCGAACAGACTCACGGCCCCTTACTGCTGTTGCCCCAAACAGAAAAGCAGTTAAGCTCATGAACTTAGATGTTGGGCGCAGCAACGCACTAACCACCCCTCATTGTATTCTTGACTCCAATCACTTCGGAGCATCTGAGTAGCTTCAAAAGTTCACTTGCGAAATGCAGAGAGATTGCAAAGACAGATTGCACAAAGGAAAGATGGCGCGGGTAGATCGCACAAACTGTGCCTGCACTCTCGTCTCTTGCAATGGACCTATGTGGTTTGGCTTCAGAGGATTATTTGTAGCGAGTTGTCTATTCAAGACAGAAGGTATTTGTTCATGCAAACAAGGGGCCCCAGCCAATTGCAAAAGCGTGAGACATTCCAGGGCTAATCCCTTCAAGGACATGCATGGAAGCCATGCGTAGCCATGCATACCGTGTAGGACCCACACTCACAGCCAGCAAAGACAAAGAGTCCAGGAAGCTTTTGATCTCATTGAATGGTTTATGACCGCCGCTTTTGTCGGATTCAAACCTTGCCTGGCTGGGGTCGCACTTGGGCCAGTAGCTCGACTTGCCTAGCAAGAGGCCAAGGAATGTTTTCGGCCCCATGTTGCTTGGCCCTGCACTGATACGGGACATGCGAGGCAGGTTCAAGGCAGACAGCAACTGGGAGAGAACTGGTACACAAATGGTTTGTGCAACTGGGCACGCAGTGACGCTGAAGCACTGAAGCAACCCTGAACAAAGAAAGGACTGAAAAGCACGGCACACGTTTTGAGAAAGGATGAGAATCCCCACCCTGGCCAAACGACACACAACCTGTCACACTGAAGATGAGGAGAACTGGACCACGCGCACATTCAGGCTGCACTGCAGCCAGTTTCCGAGTCCCAATCACAGCCTGCCATTTCAATTGACCACATGCAGTTCCAATCCAGGAGGAGCAGCCGAATCTCTGTTTGCACTGCAGAATCTCATTGGCTATCAGAGACTATTATGTTTCCGACGGTCACACGTGGATCTGGCTTCCAAATAGAGACCGCAGCATGCTACGGTATGAACCAAGCTGCCGTTGATGCACATCAAGGTCTCGTGGGAGACCTCAGCTGCGAATCGTGACGGTGTTCGCGGTTCTTTTGCCCCTCATTGTGAGCAATGCACAAACAGAATGGGGAAATTCAGAATATTGGGTGATTCCGACATTCCGACATGTGGATGAACTGGGTCAGTGTTCGTTTGGCTCAGTCTCCCTTTGGGCCACACTGGGACTGCTAGGGCCCCTGCGCATTGAGCGCTGGGAGCCCTGGTTGTGGTGCCTGGCCAAGGCTCGAAGACATAACTTCTGTCGATCCACCAGCCCAAAACTTTGAATTTGAAGGGACGTTTGAAGGGCGCGTGCCGGCACCCTAAGCCCACGATTGTCTGAGTCTCCGGGGCCTGTGCTGGCGGCAGTGGTGGTGGTAGAAGCAGTTGTTCCCTGCGTGGTGCCTGCGGTGGTCGTAGTCGTGCTGGCACCAGTAGTGCCGCTGCCAGACACAACCTGCAAGCATCTGTTGCGCCAACACATCGGCCAAAGCTTCAAGCTACAAGACTTCTGTGGCCCAATATCCGCCTCAATGTCAGCGCAGTTCCTGAACTCCTCGCCACAGCCACAGCGAGTGCAGCCTGGCCCCAAGCTCGGTGCATGGCAATTAAAATCCGTTCCAGTGCTCTAAGATGTAGCAGCTTCTCGCACGTCCTATGCTTTGTGACTTCAGGGGACTGGCCTGCGTACTCCCCTGTGGAAGGACAGCCGCTGGCTTTGAACCAGTCGGAAGGCGTGTAGCCGTTCTGGCTCAGGACCTGCCAGCGCGCTCGGATTGTGGATCCGGCTAAAGGAGAGCCAAGCAACAGAGAACTATCCCAAACTTCCGAACTGTTTCTTTCCGCAAGAACCATCTTGCTTTTCCGAATAAGGTGTTTCTTTTCTGGGCAAAATGACGCGTGGAGCACGCAACATCACCGTGCAAACCACTCTGTATCCACAAGTCTCACGCGATTGTTCCCTTCACACGACTGCCCTGGCTGATGGAGGTCGCCTCTGCATAGCATCCGTAGTCCTCGCCCGGCGTGCAGCTATTCGCGCTCCACCACCTGAGGAAACCAAAGTAACCACTGTGTGTGTGTGTGTGAGGCCAGCAAGATAAAGGAAAAAATGAGTGAAACTCTGGTTTGCCATGCACAATGGCGAGAATCATCCAGGTTCTTCGCTTCCAACGCAGTTTCAATGGGTGGGATGTTGCCCGGAACTGTGCGTTGTAGCACATGCCCGCAGAAATGCCACCTCAATAGCTATGGTCCGGCCTCCACTGCAAGGTGCAGTGCTGGCACTGCAAGTTGGCAGGCACCTTGAGGCTGATTTTGTGCACGTTGCTGCCATCGGGGCTAAAGCCGCCTGGTCAGACTTGCAATCCCGCCACAAACAGCCAGAGAGTCAAGCCCAAGTCGAAGCCCTGGCAAGCCTCTGCAAGAACGAAAAGTTGAAAGATTGGGAAGAATGGTGAACACTCCGCACAGGTCTCAAAAGGCAAAGAACGAGATGAAAGCCAGCAAAGGTCAGTTGACACAATCGCCCCTGTGTTGCAATGCCTGTGTTGAAGCAAGAAAAAGCATGCAAGAGGCACTGATGCGGATGCATTGACAAAGCATTGAAAGCGCAAGTGGATAGATAAAGCTGGGAGACGGAGCATGGTGCCAAAGCTTGGAGTGAAAGCCCTGCAAATCTCCGCAGAGAGGGCCTATATCGTGCGACGTCAATAGCAACCGCGTGAAAACAACAAAGCATCGACTTGCCTCTACACGGGTGCTAGGGTATCCGAATCCATTCGGGTCCAGTTCCTGAAACTAGATGGCGAGAACTCGGGAACCGTTTCCCAAGGCTTCAGTCAGGTGAGTTCCCGTCAATTCCCTCCTGGCGGCAGGTAGAAGCGCTCCGGGTGGCGCGTGTCCAGCGGTTGGCAGCCCGGGCGCTTGTCGTTTGGAACGCAAGTGAGGCCCAGCTCCTGGCCGAGAACCAAACGGAGAAACGGGCTTCTCGTCAAATGCGGGAAAAGGAAAACAATGAGCGACATGTGCTTCGCATGTCCAGCAGAACATACTGTAGAACAAAAGGATAACGTGCCTCCCCTGCCAAAGCTCTTGTGTTAGATGCGGGCTGCTCTCCTCTGAAGGGAGCTCGGCCGTGGATCAACCGTGATTCTGAAACTGCGCATGGGACTCGGGCATGGCATCCATCATCACTGCAAACGAAACATGTGCATGAGTAAGTAGCATGTTGACAAAGCCAGCGAGCGCGGAGATGCAGCAAAGGCGAAATCGACGCCCGGCAAATTTTAGTTGCACAATCCAATAAAATATGCTGCCGCAGGACAGACTGAAAATCAACCTGTCACGCAGCAGAATGAATCACTGCAGCACATTGGTCGAATTAAGGCACACTCGATCCATTACGTGCTTGACAAAAGCTGCTAGAACCCGTGTGTATACATCGCTCTTGGACGAGCGCTCGAGTCCCACAGTCGACGAATCCAAAGAAATAAATGAGAATCGATAAAAAATGCAAGATTGCAACTGCATGCGACAGCTCTTTCAACAGCGGCAATAGTTTTGATGTCTAGCGGACTGCTGGCAGAAGATAAGAACTCCGGACTTGCCAACAACAAAATGCCCCTGGAAACGGTGGCACCAGCTGGACCCTGATCTCCTCTTTGCTCGCACGCTCCAGGATGAAAGAATCCAGACAGCCCTGCGCATTGGCCAGGCTTGAAGTGATCTCCTGGTTGCCTCGGCCGCCACCAGATCAAGGGATAGAAGAGATAGAGAGGATGTGTGAAGGTTTGGGGCCTTGCAACCTGCTCAGTAAGGCATCAAGTACTTCTGAGGAGACACGCCACAGAAACACCGCTAGCAAGGTTGACCACCCATCGGGGCTTGTGACAAATGCATCCCTTTGAACTTGCAGTCTGTCTGTCTCTCTAATCTTGGCAAGCCACAAATACTGAACTCAAAGTGACCCATGTGGTGGGCTGTGATGCGAACTGTGACCTCCTCAATGGTCCCAGCTGTCCACTTCCTGCGCAAGGGGCCGCCAGTGCTGGTGAGCGATGTTGGTGGGAGCCAGTGCCGATAGAAACGGATACGTAATTATATATGCGCCTCCCGAAGTTCAAGCTAAGCCCACACCTCTAAACCAATCCCACACCTAGCCCCGCCTCCTTGACGCACACCCGACTTGACCCTAACCCAACCCCGAACCAGTTCTACACAGCCCCTACACGATGTTTCTCTGTGTTCCTCTGTGTTCCTCTGTGTTCCTCTGTGTTCCTCTGTGTTCCTCTGTGTTCCTCTCTGTTCCTCTGTGCTCCTCTGTGTTCCTCTGTGTTCCTCTGTGTTCCTCTGTGTTCCTCTCTGTTCCTCTGTGTTCCTCTGTGTTCCTCTGTGTTCCTCTGTGTTCCTCTGTGTTCCTCTGTGTTCCTCTGTGTTTCTCTGTGTTCCTCTGTGTTCCTCTGTGTTCCTCTGTGTTCCTCTCTGTTCCTCTGTGTTCCGCTGTGTTCCGCTGTGTTCCGCTGTGTTCCTCTGTGTTCCTCTGTGTTCCTCTGTGTTCCTCTGTGTTCCTCTGTGTTTCTCTGTGTTCCTCTGTGTTCCTCTGTGTTCCTCTGTGTTCCTCTGTTCCTCTCTGTTCCTCTCTGTTCCTCTCTGTTCCTCTCTGTTCCTCTCTGTTCCTCTCTGTTCCTCTCTGTTCCTCTCTGTTCTCTCTCTGTTCCTCTCTGTTCCTCTCTGTTCCTCTCTGTTCCTCTCTGTTCCTCTCTGTTCCTCTGTGTTCCTCTGTGTTCCTCTGTGTTCCTCTCTGTTCCTCTCTGTTCCTCTCTGTTCCTCTGTGTTCCTCTGTGTTCCTCTCTGTTCCTCTCTGTTCCTCTCTGTTCCTCTCTGTTCCTCTCTGTTCCTCTCTGTTCCTCTCTTCCTCTCTGTTCCTCTCTGTTCCTCTGTGTTCCTCTGTGTTCCTCTGTGTTCCTCTGTGTTCCTCTGTGTTCCTCTGTGTTCCTCTCTGTTCCTCTGTGTTTCTCTCTGTTCCTCTCTGTTCCTCTCTGTTCCTCTCTGTGTTCCTCTGTGTTCCTCTGTGTTCCTCTGTGTTCCTCTGTGTTCCTCTGTGTTCCTCTGTGTTTCTCTGTGTTCCTCTGTGTTCCTCTGTGTTCCTCTGTGTTCCTCTGTGTTCCTCTGTGTTCCTCTGTGTTCCTCTGTGTTCCTCTGTGTTCCTCTGTGTTCCTCTGTGTTCCTCTGTGTTTGTGCTGCGTCTGCGCTTCTGAATCTCCGTAGCTCTGTGTCTCTGTCGTTACGTCTGTGCTTTTGTCTGTGTTTGCGTCTCGTGTGTCTGTACCTCTGTACCTCTGTACCTCTGTGTCTCTGTGTCTCTGCGTCTCTGTGTCTCTGTATCTCTGCGTCTTCGTGCTTGTACGTGTTCATGCCTGTGCGCATGCTCGTGTGGCATGTGCACAATCTGCACATCAGAACGCAGTTGCAGGCATGCACACAAAGGTGCGTGACCTTGATCCAAGAGACTCAGACGTCCCACGTGATACCCGTACAGGACATGGGAGATGAGTGAGTCGCCCTGGCTTTTGTAGGAACACTAGTCAGTCTCTCATGTCCCTCCCAAAATGACTATAGATTACTGAATTTCGACCAAACATGACAGTGCCTTGTTTGTCTCAAAACAAAAAAGGTGCTTCGCACGTCGCACGCAAACTTGAATTGCGAAGTGGATCCCAGTCCTCACAGGATCAGAGCCGGCATCAACATAGTTACCTTCCAGGCTCCACCGGACGAGGCTAGTAGCATTCCATCTATGAATGAACCAAAGGACAAACTCTGTGTTTGGGGGGAAGCTGGTGCGCTTGGGCTGTGCACAAAAGGCTCAAATAGCAGACCAAGCAGCTGTCGCTTCGCCACTGGCCCCCGTCGCCGCAAATGCCAGCGCCGTTGCCACAGTGCGGACACCATTCTTAGCAGCACAGGCATGCGTCCCTACTTGACGCACTGACCAACGACACCACATACACCGCGCCTTGCAACAAGCAGGCCACAGAAATGAGGCCCGGTCGACTCGTCGACTGTTGATTGTCTGCCCCATCCCAATCTGCACGCACCACCAACAGAATGCAGCGCAGATCACTTTCCTCTGGGTGATTTGCTTCATATGTTTGCTTTTCTTCCGACAGGACTCAGACCAGAGTATGCATTTCACGGCGAGTTTACGGTTGACAAGTTACAAGAGAGGAATGTCCTCACTTTGCAGGCGAGGTCCATGTTTTCTGGGGTGGCTCTTTGTTCGGCTTTGAAGGGAAACCACCCATGTTGGAACAGCCTGGGGTGGTTTCCGGTCTCAACAAAAAAACACAGCCGAATCGGCTACGTCGGCGGGGGGCGGTTCTTGTCCTCCGCCTTGACGTTGCGTGCCGGGGGCTCCTCCATGGTGCCATGGCCCTGGGCACCCAGGAGGCACACCAGAAGCAGCGCCTCGGACCATATTGTTCTTGTGGGGGCCGGCTCCTACTTTGACAGTCCAACCAAATGGGGCAACATCTCTCCAAATGACTGTATCAACAGAAGTCTGATGAATGCCTGTTGCTTGCCTTTTCGATGCCCAGGGCCAACGGAAGCCCACAATTATGCAGGCGTCCAACCCGCCCAACTTCAAGGATGAGGATTGATCTGTGCAGTCCAAAGACGGGTTGGAGAAGAAAGAATCAAACTGAATCCTTCCATCCGCACTTGTGCAGGACAAAAAGTGTTCAGTCGGCAAAGTCGGAAAGCCAAGCGAAATGTCCAGGGGTCGCTCATTGCCTTCGCTTCATGTTCTGCAGCATCTCCCCCAAACATAATACGACGCGAGAATCCCGAAAACGGTAGACATCAGGCTAGATCAAAGCTTTAAGCGCCGGAGCATGCTCTTTGCTGCGCCTCTCAAAGCTGGCTTCATATGCTGGGGTCCCAGCAGTCTGCATCATGAAAATTGAGGCGAGCGAATTGATGCTATGCTGAGCTAAATGCCTGCAGGTCCTGGTGCCCTGCCTTTTGCCTGGAGCTTTGAGCTTGGTCGCACCTTTCCACCTCTGGACGCACGTTCAAAAAAAAACGCTGTGAAAAGAAACGACAAATACGGACTCTCAGTTCTAGAACATGAACTGAAATAGCTTCAACAACGGCAGGCAAATTACTGCACTTGTACGCACTTGTCCGATGTTGCAATGCAACTATCCGCAATGTGATCCGAGACGAGCAATACGCTGAATTCCTCTTCAGTGCAACCTAACGTGCTCAAGAGGGACCTCCAGCGGGCCTAATTTGGCCTGTTGAATGGTCGCAAGTCGGCGTCCGGCCCGACCCAATGCCACTTGATTTCTTCCCTCACCTTTGGAAAACACCTTGAACATCTGATCATCATCCCAAGTAAGTCCAACCTCTGCCGCAGACTCTGGAACATGTCGTGCTACCACATATGCTTACACCGTATAACTTATACCTATATTGAAGTTGGGCAAAGTGTCTTAATCCCAAAACGGCCATTCCTCCCGAAACGGCCATCTTTTGCGGATCCATCGCTGTGCAATTTGAATTGCTAGAGTCAGAAAGTCAGAAAGTCACAACTTTTCAGTACCAGGACCAAGGCAGTACTCAAAATGTCGCTTCCGCAGCGCTCCTCAAACTTTGCATCTTCGCCCAAGTTTCGCAGCGAGCCGCCCGCCGACCAAGAGCGCAAAACTGGTAAGTAAGGTATGAAACAACAAATGCGACCTCACATGTCGTTGACTTAGAAGATAACGGCTACGCGAAACTTTCGCGGAAAAAGTACGTTCACAACCCAAACACCCATGGTCACCCAATACTAAACTCCTTACAAGGACCTTTAGCTCAACTCTCGCATGTGTACGCGTGTGCGTATGTAAATAGTGGGAGACAAAGAAAGAAGGAGATACAATACGACAATGAAGGAAAGCAAAGAAAAGGAAACGAAAAACAAAGCCAAAGAAAAGAAAGGGGGAACGAAGGAGAGAAATAATGGGTGAGGTCAATGTGCTGCGGCTACATTTGTGCCGCGCAAGCACGCCCTGTAGGACCTTGAGGAAGCGACTGCGGCAACAGTTTCAATGGAATATTTTAATGTCACCATAGAAAATCTGATAGCAGGGCGCAACAGGGACCTCACAAGGACCAGCGACCCAGCACGCTACGATTAGCAACACAACAAATGTACGAAGGCAGAACTAGGAGGCAGCCACACGCCGAAGGACAAGCCAGCAACAGGGCACGATCAAAGCTGCAAGAGCAGCAGCAGGAGCACAGGACAAGTCCCCAATACGTACTACAAGGATAAGACTCAGCGAACGGCAACAAATCGGAGCACACCGGCCAGAAACCTGCCTACTTCCTGGTGAACCCTGCCAAGGCCCGCTTCGACAGACAAACCCTCCACAACGCTGATGCAAAGCCTGACATCTACTGAACCAAAAAGCACCCTATCGGTCGGCACACGAAGCTTTGGTTGCCTCGGAAAGCTTGTCAAGACTACACTGACAATTGAGCAGACTGTCATGACTGTTAGCTTCATCAAGGAGTATGACGGGACTGCCTGCATTCCGCATTCCATTGTCGCTGGCACGTTGAGATAGATGTGGACAACATTTGGACGAAACAAAAGAAAAACAAAGAACATGTAAAGACAAAACGGGTAAGGAAGTGGAGGTACAGGAGACCGTCAAATCACTGGCAAGTGTTCCAGGCAGTCGGAAGTAGATCTAAAATGGTATAACCATGTGGGGAGAATGACCCCAGCTGACGAGGAATTGCTTTTGCTTCTTGTCAACCACGGTCAATATTTACTGCAATTGGGCAGCCTACGGTTGCTGCAGTTTCTGGATTCTTGCGGCGCAGTGCGCGGGTGGAAGCTTGACTTGGCCAGCCCCGAAGGGGCGCTTCCATGTCACTTGATGAAACTACTCTAACAGTTACGAGACAAAGGCCCACAAAACCCAGGAAAATACGCGAGCGGCACACTTTGAGACGGCCCAAGGACAAGCAACCTGGCGCAACTGCTCATGTAGGTCACATACTTGTTCCAATGTAGACATGCCGACATGCCTCTGTTCCTGGGCCTTTAATGTGGGAGGCTCCAATGCCAAGTCCGGCGTCCTGTTGGCCGTGTTTTGCGCGAAAGAGGCTCTCGGGTTCGCAAAGCGTATACAAGTCGAACCGTGGCAGCCGGCCATTGTGGCTCGCACTGCACGAAAAGCCCCCGAATTACAAACATGGGTTCAAAACTGGGTTGGACACTTGACCATCCCTGGAGGCGGTTGTGCCACGAGTGTGAGCGAGCAACCGTCCAGTTTTGGCCGAAAGCATCCCAGGCACCAAGTCGGAGCTCGGCGAACGAACATTGTCATTCAAGCCAAACCAACTCAGCTACAAGAGAAAATCTCACCGCTGAGAGCGTGTTCCACTGTTCTGCTGGTCGTTCAAAGATAGCAGGTTGCCCCAGACAGCTTCATTCAAGAGGCCAAAAACTGGAGTCGAGGAACAGAGCTCACAGCAGCTATGCAGCTGTACAGCGAACTGCCGATTGGCGTTTCATCGTGGAATTCTAAGCGACCGTCGAGCAGGTGCCTCAACAGCAAAACGCGGGAGCAGAAGGAATAAACCTACTCTCGCTTGAAGCTGATCACTCTTAAGTGCAGCCAACCGCCCCATAAGCTGTCTGCCAACGAGTTGCAAATGGCTGGATCCGTGTTGCAGGGCCACCATTTGTAGCCCTCCGCGCACCGTTGGCAGTTCCTGGGATGTCCAAGCACACAATGCCCCTCTCCTCATCGGACTGACGAAAACTGAAAAAATGGAATCTTGCCTCCCTGACAACAAAAAGGGATTGAAGAGCCTTTGTAACTAAAATGAAGTGTTTCAGCTGCACCGATTCGCCCAAGCTCAAATATTCTTCTTTTCCCTTGCTTTCGGCCCCACCGATCAAGTCTGAGCAACGGGCAAATCAGACGCTTGTTGGTTAAAAAAAAAGGAGGAGCTGTGCATTGTTCGCACACCATTGCTCCTTGCAACGCTCGCTTTTGTAACTTCTATCCTCCTTGTCCGAATGCGTATAAATCCGTATCAAGGTTTATGACCTTCTCACGTCAAACCGGCCAGCAAGGAGCGCCGCTGTGGCGCCGTTGGGCGGCAGCCCCTGGCACCGAGGCGTCGCTCTTGTGTGTGTGTGGTAGGAGACAAGCCGAAAGCACACCAATCGGCTAGCGGCATCCGAATTCCGCCTCAGTCGGCACGCAGGTCAAGGATCCAGAAACTGAGGTGGTCGTGGTCGAGGTGGTCGTGGTGGTGGCTTGGGTTGTGCTTGGCATAGTGGAAGTCGCCTGACACAAATGCACCCATGCTGAACAATCGAAGGCTGAACACAGCAGGTGTTGCCAAAGAAAACAAACCCACCCACAAGCACAAGGCGTAGAGATGCGGCTTCAAGCATTAAGCTGTTGTTCTTAATTGTTACGTGTTGCTTCTTTTCGGGGACGTCTATGGTCTTTGTGGTGCAGCGTTGAATTGGCTGCGAACGCAGCTCTGGAGTACGAGACATGTGCGTTGCACGTGACTAATGGTGAGCAGTGCTGCCAGTCTTACGGCACGTGCACGCGCGGCATTGATTGAAATGGCATCCACATCGACAGGAAACTCTTTCTTGTGCTGCAGATCTAGAAACACGAGCGCGCCAAACTAAAAGACAGGATCACAAGCGCCTGGTGGTTGCTACGACCCCACCTTCATGCTGGCCACATACATACATACATACATACATACATACATACATACATACATACATACATACATACATACATACATACATACATACATACATACATACATACATACATACATACATACATACATACATACATACATACATACATACATACATACATACATACATACATACATACATACATACATACATACATACATACATACATACATACATACATACATACATACATACATACATACATACATACATACATACATACATACATACATACATACATACATACATACATACATACATACATACATACATACATACATACATACATACATACATACATACATACATACATACATACATACATACATACATACATACATACATACATACATACATACATACATACATACATACATACATACATACATACATACATACATACATACATACATACATACATACATACATACATACATACATACATACATACATACATACATACATACATACATACATACATACATACATACATACATACATACATTACATACATACATACATACATACATACATACATACATACATACATACATTACATACATACATACATACATACATACATACATACATACATACATACATACATACATACATACATACATACATACATACATACATACATACATACATACATACATACATACATACATACATACATACATTACATTACATACATACATACATACATACATACATACATACATACATACATACATACATACATACATACATACATACATACATACATACATACATACATACATTACATACATACATACATACATACATACATACATACATACATACATACATACATACATTACATACATACATACATACATACATACATACATACATACATACATACATTACATTACATTACATACATTACATACATTACATACATTACATTACATTACATTACATACATTCCATTACATACATACATACATACATACATACATACATACATACATACATACATACATACATACATACATACATACATACATACATACATACATACATACATACATACATACATACATACATACATACATACATACATACATACATACATACATACATACATACATACATACATACATACATACATACATACATACATACATACATACATACATACATACATACATACATACATACATACATACATACATACATACATACATACATACATACATACATACATACATACATACATACATACATACATACATACATACATACATACATACATACATACATACATACATACATACATACATACATTACATACATACATACATACATACATACATACATAACATACATACATACATACATACATACATAACATAACATAACATAACATAACATAACATAACATAACATAACATACATACATACACATACATATACACATACATATACACATACATACATACATACATACATACATACATAGATACATACATACGTACATACATACATACATACATACATACAAAACATGACATGACATGACATGACATGACATGACATTGCGTTACATTACATTACATTGCATTACATTACATTACATTACATACATACATACATACATATATACATACATTACGTACGTACGTACGCACGCACGTACGTACGTACATACACACATACATACATACATACATACATACATACATACATACATACATACATACATACATACATACATACATACATACATACATACATACATTACATATTCTACACTACACTACACCATACTACATTACATTCCATTACATTACATTACATTACATACATACATACATTACATACATTACATACATACATACATTACATTACATTACATTACATTACATTACATTACATTACATTACATTACATTACATTACATTACATTACATTACATTACATTACATACATACATACATGCACACATTGCATACATACATACATTACATAGATGACATTACATTACATTACATTATATTACATTGCATTGCATTGCATTGCATTACATTACATTACAGTACATTACATTGACATACAAACATACATACATTACATACATACATACATTACATAGATGACATTACATTAGATTAGATTACATTACATTACATTGCATTGCATTACAATACATACATACAGACAGACATAGATACATACATACATTACATACATACATACCTTACATACTTACATACTTACATACTTACGTACTCGCATACTTACATACTTACATGCTTACATACTTACATACTTACATACTTACATACATACATACGTACACGCACACACAGGGGGGGGCACACCTGTTGGCACACGTGGGATGCGAACCTTCCGTGGGTCGCTTCAGCAAATTGCATGGCAATCTGGACTTACTGAAGCAGCTAAAAAGCGCAAGAGCCTCTTTCTGTGCTCTTACAAACGCGAAAACAACATGTCACTCACTCCAAAGGCAAAGACACTGGCCTCCACAAGATGGAGTCACATTGTCTCAGGTCTGTTTGTTGAGGGTACCCCCTTTTGGTGTGTTAAGGGAAACCCAAAGCAAAACCACAATTTCAAGGGACAAACTCACATATACACGGATTTATTCTTGGCTTCCTTCTAAACAAATTTCAAAAGGGGACCTTTCTTGAGCCGATTGAACAATGGTTCGAAGACCACGAACACCAGTACAATCAAACCTCCCAAATCCACTCTCCTGGCAGTCGCAGAGCTGGCCAGCGCACGGCCAGGCCTAGCAATGCTCAATTTGCGTGGCTAGTGATCTTTGGTATCTTTTTTCTGCCTTCGGGTATTGATTGCCCAGAATCATAGCCGCATGAGCCGCTGACAATCAAAGTATGCGGCTCGTCCAATGAATATGTGAGTCCCCTCACGTTTTTGGCAAATTGTGCGAGTCTCCCGATGTCCCTCCCAAATAGATCAGACTACTGGAAATGTTGAAAGAACCGCACATGGAGACTCCAGGCGCAATAAAGAACTGCGCTACGCCAGGCCACGCCCACAGGCAGAAGCGCACAGGCGGAGACACACCGGGCATCACTGCCGCCGAAGGAAAGGGAGGCTGCAGTGGCGCGGCAGCCCTCAGCAGGAGTATGGCACTTCAGTTCTCGTTGGGGCACATTACCCTCATTTACTCCTTGCTGTTTGTTACTCCTTACTTAGGGTTTACCTCAAGTTGGTCCAGGGTCTGGGGGGTGAAACCCTCGCAATGCGGATGTGGCAGCCTGCAATTTGGAGGAGGCAACCAACTGTTTAAGTATCATCAATAGACTTCTGGAGCCGCTGGTGGGCAGGCCTGAGATGCTCCCAGGATATAGCCTGAAAGCAGAGCTTTGAAATGATTCTTGAAATCTCACGTGGCTTCGGAAGTTCCTGAGAAGCTTGTGAGACAGGATCAATACGTTTGCTACAATCAACGCTGAATGCAGCTTAGGCGCTGATGCCGTAGTTGTGGCCTGCGCAGTGGTTGTTGTTGGCGCGGCTGTGGTCGTTGTAGCCACCGTTGTTGTCATCTGCGTTGTAGCCAGAGTAGTTGTTGATGTCGTTGAACTCGTGCCTAGAGCTCTCTCCCCTTAACAGGCCGCTTTGCCACACCTCATGCAATGCTAATCAAGCCTGGCAGCACAAGAACAAGCGCTATACGAGAGCTGATTGGAATGAGTTAGCTCCCGAAAGTTAGATCAGGGCGTCTGACTCCGCGCAGAAATCTGCGCATCAACAGGTTTCTACCAAGCTTGAATCAGCCTGGCTGCACCTGACCTCATCTTGCAAGAATTGAAGTTCAAACAGCCTCATATACCTGCTCCACGCCTTCATTCCTTGCACTTGGCCAAGCAGCCAGCGAGGCACGATCCCACCAGGTTGTAAGCTTCCTAAGCAATCAGGCAAAAGAGCTAGCTGATCCAAACTGCCTGCGAAGGCAAATCTGACGATCAGTAGCTGCTGTCGTTAAATCAGCGGCCTTCTCAAGTCTCGACTTGATGTTGGGGTCGAATCGAACATCCAACAGCTCTTGCCGTGTGCTGAAAGCAGCAAAATCAGGGCAAGTCTCTGAGCGGTCGACCACACGGGAAAGGATGCATTGGGTCTGCCGATCGAAAGACTTGTCGAACAGGTCCTCGCCACACCCGGGGATGACGCCTCAGAGGCACCCTCAAGACTCTTGGACGATATCATGGACCTCTCCAAACATTCAGCAAACATTCCGCCAAAAGCAGGTCTCCATTCACATGCTAAAGTCTGTTGGCATTCTCCAGGCCAGGCAAGCAAGATTTTGCGTGGCTGGGGCTTTGAGCTTTGAGGGCGTGATTTTGGTCCACCCGGGGCAATTCACCACCTTAGGTTCAAATCTGGTCCCCCATACTCGCCCCAGGACAGCTGTTTAGGGTATTTGGCGTGCTTAGAGTGTTTATGTCTTTTAGGGCTCTCAGAGTGTTCAGGGTCTTAGGTTTAGGGTGTTTAACATTCAAGTTTAAGATTTAGTCTAGGGTTTTTGGGATTTAGGGATTAGAATGGATAAAAATGCAAAAACAACCCAAAACACTGGCCCGGTGCTGTTCGCCAATGTTTCCCGAGGTGTTGGGGCAGACATGGATTGGCCGCACTCCCGGTCCCGCATTCTATACGTCGAGCGGCGGTTTGTGAGCTTGTACCAGGCAGCTGCAGACTTCCAGCCGTAGGCGGCGGTCTGAAAGAAGTCCTTGCCCATCGCACTGGAGATGCTGGCGTAGTTCCTGGGCTTCTCCGGGCTCAGACAGCTTTGAAGCGTCCAAACAAGGTATATTTCTGAGGCAGAATCAGAAGGTAGGGTACAATGACTAGGGCACAGCGGTAGAGTTCTGGCGCGACTGGTACGGGAAATGGCACGACTGGGATCGTCCCAGGAGTTATACCAGCACAGACCCCAGATAGCAAGAATGCTCTGTCGCCCAACACAGTGTTGGAGCACTAAGAATGGCGTTGGCTGTTGGTTCCCTTGGTTCCGGAAATATGGCGGCACCAAGTGCCAGACCCTCCCCAACCCTTCCAAAAAATTCCGATATTGCGACCCATGTCGCACGACCCAACCCAAACCCATGCTCCAGCTGCCTCCAATCTGGGGCCCAAACCCACGGCTAGCCTCGCATCCAGCCAGAAACCCCCTAGGTCAAGTTCCTCGTCAACCCATCAAGAAACCGGCCTAAAAACCAGTCAAACCTGTCTCAGCCTAGACGTTCAGATCCACCTGTGCCGACTCATTCACTCAAACAAACACAACACTTCAAGGCAAACCAAAACACAGCACCGCGGGCAATGGGAAGCGTTTACAGCTACCACTGCCAATCCATGATGTTGATCGAAGCCAACTGCCTTGCATGTTCTCAACGCCCGGAACAAAGTAGCACCTACGTACAAAGCATACCAAGTGCCTGTCCCTGTGAGAACATCACGCCAAAAAACTGCGGAACAAGCCGCCAAAATACACAACAACATTTCCCGGCGACGAAGCAGCTACGCCACCAAAAAAAAACGCAACGCTTTGTTTTACACAGAATAAGCAGGGACGAATGCGTACGGTTAGGGGGCGTTCCTGTGCATAACCACAAGCGGTCAGTCAAAAAAGAAACAAGCAAGCAGCAGCACCCTGCAACAGCGCCCTGCGCAGCTCTACGGAATCCGAGCAGCGCCGCTGCCATCACCTTGCAACAGCACCCTGCGCAACTCTGAGACGCAGCACCCTGCAAGCGCAACTCTGAGTCACAGCCTGCAGCAGCATCTGAGTCAGCAACACCCCATCGCAACAGTACCAGGCCAGAATTCTAAGTCACACCCACCCCTTCTTTAATTAGAGTAAGGCCCTATAGCTTTCAGCTATCCGAGGACAAACCTTGCAATTTGGAGGAGTTGAAAAAGCACTGCAACGTACTGCAAACTCGGCGCAAAAAAAATATAGCTTTCGGCAAAGAACAATGTAACATATACATTGGCGCGGGTACAACACACCAATTCTTGCACCATACCAGTCGTACCCATGCTCCGTACCCTGGAGCGCATTACTGAGCATGACTCTTGAATTCAGCTCAAGTCTTGAAGTCCACGCCGTTTGATGCCGGAAGAATGACTTTGCGGCTATTCCGGCAATTTTACGTTCAGAAGAGTGAGGATGGACGTCTTCCTGCAGGCAACACAGCGTGGGACCGCAACACAAAGGTTTCGGAAGGAAGGGTTGGATCATGTGACTTTTTGTTGAGGATGTGCCTCTCTCGCAGCAAGCTTTGAGTCTTTTGCTATCAAAGCATCTGGCCCGGGAAGAGCTGGTCCATGTCAGCTGCATTGGTCGGCCAGTTTCCCGGGATCATGTGGATCAAACCAGCACCTCAGCACCGTGTCTAAGCGGCCAACGCCTTCAACCGCTATTGGAGAAACAATCTGAGCTTGAATGTCAGAAACTCGCTCTTATGTCCAGCGTGCAGATGCTGGAAGTGTAACAAACATGAAGCTAGAAACGATGAACTGATTGGGAATTGTGAAGATACATGAGGATGTAGGGTGGACCGGGAAGGAGTCGAACCTACAAGAAGGAGACACGCGCCTCTCATGACTTGCTTGGTCACAGCCTGCCTGTGGATCCCATCCAATTGATGGCAGTTTGCGGCAGGATCAGCTCCAAAAGCTTAAAGAGGCGGTTCGCAACTGACAAACCGTTAAAACATCAGCATTCAGACCGTCTCCACAAGACGAAAGAGCACGATGATGGCAGCTGACAGGAATTCAAACTAAATCGCTCCAACGCCCTGCAGCATCTATTTACCTGCTAGCCGGCTTTCCTTGTCACGATTACCGCGCTCTCGACTGCGGCCACGGCGCCTCCATCAGCAGGCTGGAACAAGGTAGAGTAGAAGCCAGTTTCGTAAGCCACCTGCGCCCGGCTCAAAGCTCAAGTGCCATGGTGAGTTTCACAAGTTGAGCGCAAGGAATGGATGAAGCCAAAGAATGTTATTCAAGGATCAACCTCAACCATATTGCAAGGGCTTCTTGAAGACCCTTTGAGTTCATTTCACCAAGGACTGCTGGTATTCGTGAATGTGACGGTTCAGTCGTCAGGGGGACAAGCACTCATTCCTGTTCATCTTGCCTACGGGGGAAGCAATAACAAATTCCGCGCAGCCCTGCCTCACTCCAAATTCAAAATGAGATATTGCCCCCTCCCGCCCTCACTGTGGGGCGGTGCTCTTTGACTTGCAGGATTCTGATGGGAGAGGGTGCGCGCTATGCTCGGACCCCAAGAGGAACAACTTTGTCGTTGTGTACTTGCAAACCAGGGTGCACCAATGATCGCCAAGGCTCGGCAAGCAACCGCAGTGAGAGGGTCTCACTGTAAACGTCAATGGACGCCAAGGGGGGCTGCAAAGGATGAACCCAAAGCCGACTTCAGCCAAACTTGTTCACCGGCAGGAGTCTCCGTCCGAACCGCGCGCAATGAAAGACTGACGTCGGGTCGCTGCCCCCTAGCTCATCCGTGGCTCTCACTGGGGCTTCCTTTGCAGGGGCCGGAGGGACTCAACCGAGTGCGCCGACCTGAGCCAGCAGCTTATGGATGGCATCGGCATCATTGCACTTGTTGACGGCCGGGTCCGACAGCATGTCATTCAGGGCATCTGCCCACTCCTAGCTTGTGTTTGAAAGTCTGCTTAGTTGCTCGGCATGGCAGAGAATGGTCCACAGACGAACATCAGAGGAGTGGGGTATGGGTTAGGTCGGGGTTGGGTCCAGTGTTGGATTCGGGTCAGGTCCAAGGTTGGACAAGGGTTCGGTCCCGGGTAAAACCCAAGTTTGGCAACAAGGGTAACAGCTAAGCCAGTCCTTTGAGCCAACTGAGTCCAAGACCATTCTCAAGCGGCCGCAACCCGTGGAAATACTATCGCGTGGATCAGCCAGGACAAGCCTGGTTAAGCCCTTGCTATGCTGTGGTTGCGCCAAAAAAGCCTGACATACGTTCCTATTCCTGTTCCCTTACCAGAATTGGGTTTGCCTTTGGATCGATACGCAAACTACTTCCAAAAAGCCTTTGCCCTGCCTGGTGCGTACAATCTTCACGCTTCAAGTCACGTTGGGTTGACCGCATGGCATGATTGATGTCAAGCTCCCGTCTACATGTGTTGCAGTGTTGCAGCGGTGGCAAGTATCTCGCATACATCGTATGAAAAGGCACTCTCCTTCGTGCAATAGTGGCCAAACTCGTAGCCAGCAGGTCCAGCATTGTTCTTGGCCTGCAGGGTCCAAGTCAATTGGTCTCTGTAAGACTGAATAGCAAAGTAGCCACGCTCCCAGCCTCGTGTTAGATGCGGAAAAAACATGTTGAGTGCTTTCACAGCCCCTCTCCTAGCGGTAGAATACTATGACACAGCAGAAGTTGGCGTGCGAGCGCGTTTGGGTTGACAGGGGCATGTTCAGGTTCTGTTGCTGGGCTCGAACAGACTCATGGCCCCTTGCTGCTGTTGCCCCACACAGAAAAGCAGTTGAGCTCATGAACTTAGATGTTGGGCGCAGCAACGCACTAACCACCCCTCATTGTATTCTGACTCCAATCACTTCGGAGCATCTGAGTAGCTTCAAAAGTTCACTTGCGAAATGCAGAGAGATTGCAAAGACAGATTGCACAAAGGAAAGATGGCGCGGGTAGATCGCGCAAACTGTGCCTGCACTCTCGTCTCTTGCAATGGACCTATGTGGTTTGGCTTCAGAGGATTATGTGTAGCGAGTTGTTTATTCAAGACAGAAGGTGTTTGTTCATGCAAACAAGGGGCCCCAGCCAATTGCAAAAGCGTGAGACATTCCAGGGCTAATCCCTTCAAAAACATGCATGCCACGCATGGAAGCCATGCGTAGCCATGCATACCGTGTAGGACCCACTCTCACAGCCAGCAAAGACAAAGAGTCCAGGAAGCTATTGATCTCATTGAATGGTTTATGACCGCCGCTTTTGTCGGATTCAAACCTTGCCTGGCTGGGGTCGCACTTGGGCCAGTAGCTCGACTTGCCTAGCAAAGGCCAAGGAATGTTTTCGGCCCCATGTTGCTTGGCCCTGCAAGGCAGGAGACAGCAACTGGGAGTTTACTGGTAATTACACAAATGGTTTGTGCAACTGGGCACGCAGTGACGCTGAAGCACTGAAGCAACCCTGAACAAAGAAAGGACTGAAAAGCACGGCACACGTTTTGAGAAAGGATGAGAATCCCCACCCTGGCCAAACGACACACAACCTGTCACACTGAAGATGAGGAGAACTGGACCACGCGCACATTCAGGCTGCACTGCAGCCAGTTTCCGAGTCCCAATCACAGCCTGCCATTTCAATTGACCACATGCAGTTCCAATCCAGGAGGAGCAGCCGAATCTCTGTTTGCACTGCAGAATCTCATTGGCTATCAGAGACTATTATGTTTCCGACGGTCACACGTGGATCTGGCTTCCAAATAGAGACCGCAGCATGCTACGGTATGAACCAAGCTGCCGTTGATGCACATCAAGGTCTCGTGGGAGACCTCAGCTGCGAATCGTGACGGTGTTCGCGGTTCTTTTGCCCCTCATTGTGAGCAATGCACAAACAGAATGGGGATTTTTTTGGTGATTCCGACATTCCGACATGTGGATGAGGGTCAGTGTTCGTTTGGCTCAGTCTCCCTTGGGACTGCTAGGGCCCCTGCGCATTGAGCGCTGGGAGCCCTGGTTGTGGTGCCTGGCCAAGGCTCGAAGACGTAATTTGAAGGGACGTTTGAAGGGCGCGTGCCGGCACCCTAAGCCCACGATTGTCTGAGTCTCCGGGGCCTGTGCTGGCGGCAGTGGTGGTGGTAGAAGCAGTTGTTCCCTGCGTGGTGCCTGCGGTGGTCGTAGTCGTGCTGGCACCAGTAGTGCCGCTGCCAGACACAACCTGCAAGCGTCTGTTGCGCCAACACATCGGCCAAAGTTTCAAGCTACAAGACTTCTGTGCCCCAATATCCGCCTCAATGTCAGCGCAGTTCCTGAACTCCTCGCCACAGCCACAGCGAGTGCAGCCTGGCCCCAAGCTCGGTGCATGGCAATTAAAATCCGTTCCAGTGCTCTAAGATGTAGCAGCTTCTCGCACGTCCTATGCTTTGTGACTTCAGGGGACTGGCCTGCGTACTCCCCTGTGGAAGGACAGCCGCTGGCTTTGAACCAGTCGGAAGGCGTGTAGCCGTTCTGGCTCAGGACCTGCCAGCGCGCTCGGATTGTGGATCCGGCTAAAGGAGAGCCAAGCAACAGAGAACTATCTCAAACTTCCGAACTGTTTCTTTCCGCAAGAACCATCTTGCTTTTCCGAATAAGGTGTTTCTTTTCTGGGCAAAATGACGCGTGGAGCACGCAACATCACCGTGCAAACCACTCTGTATCCACAAGTCTCACGCGATTGTTCCCTTCACACGACTGCCCTGGCTGATGGAGGTCGCCTCTGCATAGCATCCGTAGTCCTCGCCCGGCGTGCAGCTATTCGCGCTCCACCACCTGAGGAAACCAAAGTAACCACTGTGTGTGTGTGTGTGTGGCCAGCAAAATAAAGGAAAAATTGAGTGAAACTCTGGTTTGCCATGCACAATGGCGAGAATCATCCAGGTTCTTCGCTTCCAACGCAGTTTCAATGGGTGGGATGTTGCCCGGAACTGTGCGTTTTAGCACATGCCCGCAGAAATGCCACCTCAATAGCTATGGTCCGGCCTCCACTGCAAGGTGCAGTGCTGGCACTGCAAGTTGGCAGGCACCTTGAGGCTGATTTTGTGCACGTTGCTGCCATCGGGGCTAAAGCCGCCTGGTCAGACTTCCAATCCCGCCACAAACAGCCAGAGAGTCAAGCTCAAGTCGAAGCCCTGGCAAGCCTCTGCAAGAACCAAAACACTCCGCACAGGTCTCAAAAGGCAAAGAACGAGATGAAAGCCAGCAAAGGTCAGTTGACACAATCTCCCCTGTGTTGCAATGCCTGTGTTGAAGCAAGAAAAAGCATGCAAGAGGCACTGATGCGGATGCATTGACAAAGCATTGAAAGCGCAAGTGGATAGATAAAGCTGGGAGACGGAGCATGGTGCCAAAGCTTGGAGTAAAAGCCCTGCAAATCTCCGCAGAGAGGGCGTATATCGGGCGAGGTCAATAGCAACCGCGTGAAAACAACAAAGCATCGACTTGCCTCGGGTATCCGAATCGATTCGGGTCCAGTTCCTGAAACTAGATGGCGAGAACTCGGGAACCGTTTCCCAAGGCTTCAGTCAGGTGAGTTCCCGTCAATTCCCTCCTGGCGGCAGGTAGAAGCGCTCCGGGTGGCGCGTGTCCAGCGGCTGGCAGCCCGGGCGCTTGTCGTTTGGAACGCAAGTGAGGCCCAGCTCCTGGCCGAGAACCAAACGGAGAAACGGGCTTCTCGTCAAATGCGGGAAAAGGAAAACAATGAGCGACATGTGCTTCGCATGTCCAGCAGAACATACTGTAGAACAAAAGGATAACGTGCCTCCCCTGCCAAAGCTCTTGTGTTAGATGCGGGCTGCTCTCCTCTGAAGGGAGCTCGGCCGTGGATCAACCGTGATTCTGAAACTGCGCATGGGACTCGGGCATGGCATCCATCATCACTGCAAACGAAACATGTGCATGAGTAAGTAGCATGTTGACAAAGCCAGCGAGCGCGGAGATGCAGCAAAGGCGAAATCGACGCCCGGCAAATTTTAGTTGCACAATCCAATAAAATATGCTGCCGCAGGACAGACTGAAAATCAACCTGTCACGCAGCAGAATGAATCACTGCAGCACATTGGTCGAATTAAGGCACACTCGATCCATTACGTGCTTGACAAAAGCTGCTAGAACCCGTGTGTATACATCGCTCTTGGACGAGCGCTCGAGTCCCAAAGTCGACGAATCCAAAGAAATAAATGAGAATCGATAAAAAATGCAAGATTGCAACTGCATGCGACAGCTCTTTCAACAGCGGCAATAGTTTTGATGTCTAGCGGACTGCTGGCAGAAGATAAGAACTCCGGACTTGCCAACAACAAAATGCCCCTGGAAACGGTGGCACCAGCTGGACCCTGATCTCCTCTTTGCTCGCACGCTCCAGGATGAAAGAATCCAGACAGCCCTGCGCATTGGCCAGGCTTGAAGTGATCTCCTGGTTGCCTCGGCCGCCACCAGATCAAGGGATAGAAGAGATAGAGAGGATGTGTGAAGGTTTGGGGCCTTGCAACCTGCTCAGTAAGGCATCAAGTACTTCTGAGGAGACACGCCACAGAAACACCGCTAGCAAGGTTGACCACCCATCGGGGCTTGTGACAAATGCATCCCTTTGAACTTGCAGTCTGTCTCTCTAATCTTGGCAAGCCACAAATACTGAACTCAAAGTGACCCATGTGGTGGGCTGTGATGCGAACTGTGACCTCCTCAATGGTCCCAGCTGTCCACTTCCTGCGCAAGGGGCCGCCAGTGCTGGTGGGCGATATTGGTGGGAGCCAGTGCCGGTATAAACGGATACGTAATTATATATGCGCCTCCCGAAGTTCAAGCTAATCCCCCCACTGAACACCCTGAACAAGCCCTAGACTCACCCAGAAACGACCGAAAACCACCTCTAAACCAATCCCACACCTAGCCCTGCCTTCAACCCAACCTTGACGCACACCCGACCTGACCCTAATCCAACCCCGAACCAGTTCTACACAGCCCCTACACGATGATTCTCTGTGTTTCTCTGTGTTCCTCTGTGTTCCTCTATGTTCCTCTGTGTTCCTCTGTGTTCCTCTGTGTTCCTCTGTGTTCCTCTGTGTTCCTCTGTGTTCCTCTGTGTTCCTCTCTGTTCCTCTCTGTTCCTCTCTGTTCCTCTCTGTTCCTCTCTGTTCTCTCTGTTCCTCTCTGTTCCTCTCTGTTCCTCTCTGTTCCTCGCTGTTCCTCGCTGTTCCTCGCTGTTCTCGCTGTTCCTCGCTGTTCCTCTCTGTTCCTCTCTGTTCCTCTCTGTTCCTCTCTGTTCCTCTCTGTTCCTCTCTGTTCCTCGCTGTTCCTCTCTGTTCCTCTCTGATCCTCTCTGATCCTCCCTGTTCCTCTCTGTTCCTCTCTGTTCCTCTCTGTTCCTGTTCCTCTGTTCCTCTCTGTTCCTCTCTGTTCCTCTCTGTTCCTCGCTGTTCCTCTCTGTTCCTCGCTGTTCCTCGCTGTTCCTCTCTGTTCCTCTGTGTTCCTCTCTGTTCCTCTGTGTTCCTCTCTGTTCCTCTGTGTTCCTCTGTGTTCCTCTGTGTTCCTCTGTGTTCCTCTGTGTTTCTCTGTGTTCCTCTGTGTTCCTCTGTGTTCCTCTCTGTGTTCCTCTCTGTTCCTCTCTGTTCCTCTGTGTTCCTCTGTGTTCCTCTGTGTTCCTCTGTGTTCCACTGTGTTCCTCTGTGTTCCTCTGTGTTCCTCTGTGTTCCTCTGTGTTCCTCTGTGTTCCTCTGTGTTCGTCTGTGTTCCTCTGTGTTCCTCTGTGTTCCTCTGTGTTCCTCCGTGTTCCTCCGTGTTCCTCCGTTTTTTTCTGTGTTCCTTCGTGTTCCTCCGTGCTCCGTGTTCCTCTGTGTTCCTCCGTGTTCCCTCCTCTGTGCTCCTCTGTGCTCCTCTGTGCTCCTTCTGTGCTCCTCTGTGTCCCTCTGTGTTCCTCTGTGTTCCTCTGTGTTCCTCTGTGTTCCTCTGTGTTCCTCTGTGTTCCTCTGTGTTCCTCAATGTTCCTCTGTGTTCCTCTGTGTTCCTCTCTGTTCCTCTCTGTTCCTCTCTGTTCCTCTCTGTTCCTCTCTGTTCCTCTCTGTTCCTCTCTGTTCCTCTCTGTTCTGTCTCCTGTTCCTCGCTGTTCCTCTCTGTTCCTCTCTGTTCCTCTCTGTTCCTCTCTGTTCCTCTCTGTTCCTCTCTGTTCCTCTCTGTTCCTCTCTGTTCCTCTCTGTTCCTCTCTGTTCCTCTCTGTCCTCTCTGTTCCTCTCTGTTCCTCTCTGTTCCTCTCTGTTCCTCTCTGTTCCTCGCTGTTCCTCTCTGTTCCTCTCTGTTCCTCTCTGTTCCTCGCTGTTCCTCTCTGTTCCTCTCTGTTCCTCTCTGTTCCTCTCTGTTCCTCTCTGTTCCTCTCTGTTCCTCTCTGTTCCTCTCTGTTCCTCTCTGTTCCTCTCTGTTCCTCTCTGTTCCTCTCTGTTCCTCTCTGTTCCTCGCTGTTCCTCTCTGTTCCTCGCTGTTCCTCGCTGTTCCTCTCTGTTCCTCTCTGTTCCTCTCTGTTCCTCTCTGTTCCTCTCTGTTCCTCTCTGTTCCTCTCTGTTCCTCTCTGTTCCTCTCTGTTCCTCTCTGTTCCTCTCTGTTCCTCTCTGTTCCTCTCTGTTCCTCTCTGTTCCTCTCTGTTCCTCTCTGTTCCTCTCTGTTCCTCTCTGTTCTCTCTCTGTTCCTCTCTGTTCCTCTCTGTTCCTCTCTGTTCTCTCTCTGTTCCTCCTCTGTTCCTCTCTGTTCCTCTCTTCCTCTCTGTTCTCTCTGTTCCTCTCTGCTGTTCCTCTCTGTTCCTCTCTGTTCTCTCTCTGTTCCTCCTCTGTTCCTCTCTGTTCCTCTGTGTTCCTCTGTGTTCCTCTGTGTTCCTCTGTGTTCCTCTGTGTTCCTCTGTGTTCGTCTGTGTTCCTCTGTGTTCCTCTGTGTTCCTCTGTGTTCCTCGTGTTCCTCCGTGTTCCTCCGTTTTTTTCTGTGTTCCTCCGTGTTCCTCCGTGCTCCGTGTTCCTCTGTGTTCCTCCGTGTTCCCTCCTCTGTGCTCCTCTGTGCTCCTCTGTGCTCCTTCTGTGCTCCTCTGTGTCCCTCTGTGTTCCTCTGTGTTCCTCTGTGTTCCTCTGTGTTCCTCTGTGTTCCTCTGTGTTCCTCTGTTACTCAATGTTCCTCTGTGTTCCTCTCTGTTCCTCTGTGTTCCTCTCTGTTCCTCTGTGTTCCTCTCTGTTGCTCTCTGTTCCTCTCTGTTCCTCTGTGTTCCTCGCTGTTCCTCTCTGTTCCTCGCTGTTCCTCGCTGTTCCTCTCTGTTCCTCTCTGTTCCTCTCTGTTCCTCTGTGTTCCTCTGTGTTCCTCTGTGTTCCTCTGTGTTCCTCTGTGTTCCTCTGTGTTCCTCTGTGTTTCTCTGTGTTCCTCTGTGTTCCTCTGTGTTCCTCTGTGTTCCTGTGTTCCTCTGTGTTCCTCTGTGTTCCTCTGTGTTCCTCTGTGTTCCTCTGTGTTCCTCTGTGTTCCTCTGTGTTTGTGCTGCGTCTGCGCTTCTGAATCTCCGTAGCTCTGTGTCTCTGTCGTTACGTCTGTGCTTTTGTCTGTGTTTGCGTCTCGTGTGTCTGTACCTCTGTACCTCTGTACCTCTGTGTCTCTGTGTCTCTGCGTCTCTGTGTCTCTGTATCTCTGCGTCTTCGTGCTTGTACGTGTTCATGCCTGTGCGCATGCTCGTGTGGCATGTGCACAATCTGCACATCAGAACGCAGTTGCAGGCATGCACACAAAGGTGCGTGACCTTGATCCAAGAGACTCAGACGTCCCACGTGATACCCGTACAGGACATGGGAGATGAGTGAGTCGCCCTGGCTTTTGTAGGAACACTAGTCAGTCTCTCATGTCCCTCCCAAAATGACTATAGATTACTGAATTTCGACCAAACATGACAGTGCCTTGTTTGTCTCAAAACAAAAAAGGTGCTTCGCACGTCGCACGCAAACTTGAATTGCGAAGTGGATCCCAGTCCTCACAGGATCAGAGCCGGCATCAACATAGTTACCTTCCAGGCTCCACCGGACGAGGCTAGTAGCATTCCATCTATGAATGAACCAAAGGACAAACTCTGTGTTTGGGGGGAAGCTGGTGCGCTTGGGCTGTGCACAAAAGGCTCAAATAGCAGACCAAGCAGCTGTCGCTTCGCCACTGGCCCCCGTCGCCGCAAATGCCAGCGCCGTTGCCACAGTGCGGACACCATTCTTAGCAGCACAGGCATGCGTCCCTACTTGACGCACTGACCAACGACACCACATACACCGCGCCTTGCAACAAGCAGGCCACAGAAATGAGGCCCGGTCGACTCGTCGACTGTTGATTGTCTGCCCCATCCCAATCTGCACGCACCACCAACAGAATGCAGCGCAGATCACTTTCCTCTGGGTGATTTGCTTCATATGTTTGCTTTTCTTCCGACAGGACTCAGACCAGAGTATGCATTTCACGGCGAGTTTACGGCTAACAAAAAGTTACAAGAGAGGAATGTCCTCACTTTGCAGGCGAGGTCCATGTTTTCTGGGGTGCCTCTTTGTTCGGCTTTGAAGGGAAACCACCCATGTTGGAACAGCCTGGGGTGGTTTCCGGTCTCAACAAAAAAACACAGCCGGGGGGCGGTTCTTGTCCTCCGCCTTGACGTTGCGTGCCGGGGGCTCCTCCATGGTGCCATGGCCCTGGGCACCCAGGAGGCACACCAGAAGCAGCGCCTCGGGCTAGGCGGCGAGCCCAAAACGGATGTGGCCGTGGCGGCCTTCGTTTCTTTTGGGGGGACCCGTTTCGAGGGAAGGAACACCATCATATTTTTGTTGTGTTATTGTGGGGGGGGGGGGGGGGGGCACTCTCCAGATGACGTCATCAACAGGAGTCCGTCTTTTTGAAGCCCAGGGCGCTCTTGATCCTTTGCTTAGGCCCCCAAAAAAAAAACTGCCAGGATGAGGATTGATCCGCTCGAGAAGCTGGCTTCAAATGCTGGGGTCCCAGCAGTCTGCATCATGAAAAATGAGGCGAGCGAATTGATGCTATGCTGAGCAAAATGCCTGCAGATCCTGGTGCCCTGTTTTTTGCCTGGAGCTTTGAGCTTGGTTGCACCAATCAACCTCTGGATGCAAGTCCCAAAATGCGCTCTGTGAAAACAATGACCAATACGGACTCTCAGTTCTAAAACATGAACCGAAATAGCTTGAACAACGGGAGATTACTGCATTTGTATGCATTTGTCCAATGTTGTAATGCCTTTACATTGCTCAATGTGATCCGAGACAAACAACACGCTGAGAAGGAAGCAACAAATTGTGAGTCGTGCATTCAACCGGCCCGTTCCCACAGGCTCACATATTTTAAGCTCTGCGAAGATTTGATCAACAGCTCCTAGAAACTCAAGCGCCGCGTCCGCGCGCCAAATCACCGTCATTTGGTCTTTGGATTCCTCCATCCATATGTTGATTTGTTCCCTCACCTTTGAAAAAGCACCTTGAAAATCTGATCATCCGAATGAGGTCCAACCTCTGCCGCAGAGGCTGGAACATGTGGCGGTGCCACAGCACAGTTGGTATGCACTTCGATTGGGGAGAAGCCGCTCGAAGCATCACTGCCAGCGCGCTAGGTCCCGCGGCCCCGCCTCAAATGGCTAAGAATGATCCAAGCACCACGCATCCTTCAGAGACACGTTGGGGCATCTGTTGTCACGGGTTGAACAGCTTAATTTCGAGTGCCCTGCAAAAGCAAATGACCAATTTGGGGTTGGCTAACTAGCCAGGTACCTAGCTGACGTCTTGTGAACAATGAGTCAGTTGGGTAGTTTGTTTCTTAGGTGATGACGTACTTAGTCGTTTACTTACCTGGCCAGTGACTCGGCTAGATTACCAGCCTTTGGGTGCGTAGTTATAGTTTTCTGGCTGGCAAGCAGCAAGTTAACTAGTTGGATAGCTGGCTGTTGTGCTTGCTGGCTCATTTCGTCCAAGTTGATCTTGTTAGATTAGTCAATGAACTAGCAGGGCAATCGGAGACCTGAGCAGCACCTAGCTAGCTATCTAGCTATGTGGTGAGCGAGCTACTAAAAGTTGGCAATCAGTTAGTTATTTGGTTAGCTTGCTTTGCTTATCGAGCTAGCCGTCTAGATAGTAGTGAGATACATAGACAAATGAGAAGCGGATCGCGCAAGCAACAAAGAACGCCGAATACTCTAGACATTTGACTGTTAAATAACAAAAACGCGATTCACTGTTTGAAGGTGAGGAAACAGTGCGTACAGCAGTTCCAATGGTCGCGTACTTGTCTGCACCGGCTCCAAGCATGCTCCACCTGCCAACTCAACAGCTGGGTTTAGCACACCAAACCTCGTCAGACCTGTCCCTGCTTCCATTTGCCAGAAGGTTCTAAACTTGCTTTGATGAATATGTGCGTACTGAGTTGGTAGGACTACTCCCCAAATCAAATCAAAATCAAAATCGATTGCAAACCACGGCTTGGCAGAAGGAAAAGCACCACCAACCGCCAACTACGGAAACGATCCCAGAAATTGTGGTTTGCCTGCCGAGGAATGCCACCCAGCACGTCCCCAAGGTCTTCCGGGCTTTCAGCCGGGGCAGCAAATGTCCGGACCGGGCCACCGGACCTCATGGCCTTCAGGCCTTGCCCCCGGCCTTTTGCAGGAGCTCAGCCACGTCCTACGCAGCAAATGGGAGTCGTGTAAAACTGAATCAACGTTCGAAAGTGAAACAGTGGCGTTGAGCTTCGCCCCATTATCGAATATGCAAAAGCAGCTCACTGGCATGAAGCCATCCAGCTGGAACATTCTGGGTGCAAGGTTTGCAGCTCGGCAACCAGAATGACTATGCCACGCAGTGAAAGTTCAGCTGCCAAGTCGATTCACTGCATGGCCCATGGCTCAAAATCGGCCCGTCAGCCGCCTTCATCTTGTTCTTCTGCGCCAGCGCTAGGGGCGTTTGGCCTGGGTGTCCCATGGTTTAGCTGCACTCTGAACATCGGGCAATCGCGTCCGGATCCGCCCCGTGAGCCTTAAAGAAAGCATCAAACACCCTTGGGGCCTTAGGGCCAGGCCCTGCGTGTTCTGCTTGTTCACGTCACCTTTCGCCTTGATAAAGTAGTCGCACAGCTCTTTCCTGCCATAGGCAGATGCCTCAGCGAGCCAATCGCTAGTTCCCTGAGTGTGCACATGCGACTCTGTGTCAATCCTTTCACTGGCACTGATTGTTGCCAGGATTCAAGAGATCCTGTCAAGGTAGGAGCTGTCTGAAAGTCCGCCGACAACAGACGGCGTGTTGGACGCAAGAAATGCTCCCCTCACGACGGGGGGGGGGGGAGGCCCACTGCCAGCGGCATCTGATCCCTGAAACCAACCGATACCTTGTGGATTCCGGAGAGTTCCGAGTGTCAATACTGATGGATTGATACTGGATAAGCCCTGGTAAACTGTGTGTTGCGGTTTATCCTGAAAGTGCTAGCCTCTTTGTATCACGGATGCAATGGCTCAGTGAGCTATGTACATCTGAGGTGTGACATGAAAGGCCTTGAGCCAAAAGGGTAACGTGTTGCATGGAGATCCATGGGAACAGAAAACAACCACAAAACAGGCACAAATTCCTTTTGATCTCCAGCACTGAATTAGTATTGGCTTATTGGCCTTCGACCGTAGCCATTCAAGTGTGTGCCGTAGCCAGATAACATATAGCTCTTAGAATTAAAATACTGTATTCATCCCTTTTTGGCGCGGATGAAATGTCTTTGTTGGCAGAAGGAAAAGAAAACTCTGTACTCCTTGCGATGCACATGCAGGATCGTTGTGAAACTCTTGGCCTCTCACAGAATAGTCTTGCTGATGGTGAGGATCAATTGGTCGTCATTCGTGATTGTTTTCTCGCGCGAACTCTTTTTCGAGCTTCTGAAAACCTTTCATCGCCTCCACGGACGGTTGCTGGTCTCCGATTGGCTGCAGCGGTCATAGTCGTACCAAGTCGAGGAACCATAGCTTTTCCATCCAGGTCGATCGTAGCCGTAAGCTTTGTTGTACCACGAGCTTCTCCCAGGTATTCTCCTTCTTCTTCTGGTTGTGCTCCTTAGCTCTCTGGGTGTCGCGCTCTTTGCTCTCGGGTCGGCTTCGAATGTAAACCATGAGCGGGCTGTGTGAATCTGCACTCACATGGGCCATTCAGAAACATCTCATTGCTGATGTGTTTGAAGCGCGCAGCTGAGGATATTTGGTAACCGGAAATGATCAGCGTGGTCTCGTCCTGCATTTTCTTCTTTCGGTGGACTCATACTCAGATCTTCGAAAGCAAATTTGGATGTCGGTCTTTCCCCATGCATACCAACGTCATCACGCAATCCGGAAATGTTCGATATGGTGACGTACGATTGCCTTCACAGTGCAAGATGCAGCCATGGTGTAATCCATTCTTTCTTTGATGGGCATTCCCTTTGTCGTGTTCCATGTGTCCTGGTATGTCTGCATGATGTGGTTGATCAATCCAAATTCCGGATTATAGATCGGCTGCAATCGGCTGTAAGTGTTTGCGGATTTGTTTGCATCGCCAGTGATTGCATCACAATGGTACATGGTCACGAGTGGATTCCATTCTGGAAGTCCTCTCTTGCTGCTCCATGCGTGGGTGATATTTGGATGGATGTGGAAGACCCCAATGGTAGCATATGGAAGTCCGGCTTGGAGAATGCATCGAGTGTCGTAATCCGTGTTCGGAGTCTCGGATGATCTCGGATGATCTCGGAAGTGCATATGAGGACCTGTCGTCGCCAGGCAGTCAAAGGTTGGCGTATCGTATTCCGGATCTATGCAGTCGATCTCGGCGCCACAGAAACATCTGAACATTCTGAATGTGGTTCCCCAGTTCTGGCACCTCGTTAAAATGTGTCCTGCCAAAAGTTCGACTCTGGCATGCTTGTTGCCACGGACAAAACATGCGATGGGTCTAGCAGACCAGGATTTGATCACAATGCCCTTGTACCCTGAGAGGATAAACAAACGGATGAGTTCCTTGCATTTTTCGTCTTGGAGATCAAGAAATGCGTCCGCTTCTTTGAGGCATATGATGTGAGCACTATTGTGCAGCAGCATCCGTGTGATCGGTCGGTCTCTCAATTTTCGGCCGTCTACCTTGGGCGCGAGGTTCCCGTGATTCGTGGTAAGTATGTTGATGGTGGCAATGAACTTGTCCATCACGGGCCCTTCAGTTGCTTGCACCAAGGATCCGAGGATATCCGTGTGTGCCTTGATCACATCGGGATCGTCCTGTGTCCTGAGAGATGTCAGTCCAAGTGGCAGTCGAATCGGATACCCGGATGCCGGCTGTGCAGCTCTGTGCTCTTCCATGGAGGGCTTGTTGCTGCTGCGGCGAAAGTAGAGTACTTCTTCATCAACATGCTCGTCAGGAGCGACGTGTCTCAGGACTCAATCTCACACCGGTTGAGATCCTTGTGAACCTTTTGAGGATTCTTTTCATACCTTTGCATGTCCCTGAAGCTTTCCTTGATAATTTGAGTTTTTCTTCTGCTTCAGTTTTACTCATTTCGCGGTTGAGATAGACCTGCTGATTGAGTTTCTCCATCGTGACCCTGTGTTTGACGACTCTTTCCCTGGCGGGTTCCATTCCTGGCTCATCATCATCGTCCCTGTCAGTGGAACGCCGTCTTTTCTTGGTCTCGGTGGATGTGTTCTTCTGAGATTGGTCCTTGTCAGCCACCTCGTTGGCGACTCCCTTTTTGCTTCCTGATTTTCCTTTTCCTTTTCTCTTCTTGAATCTGAAATTTCGCCCAGACACCTTTCTTGCAATGAACGCATCATTCTCCTCCAAAGCCCAGAAAGTCTCTTCATCATTGTTCGCCATGAATCTTTCAGCTCCATCTTCGTCTTCCACCCAGAAACCTTCTTCGCCTTCACACTCCCCTTGTTCTAGGACGTGGAAGGTATTACTCCGATTTCCTCCTGGAGGTCGGATGGATGGATCTTGGATGGATGTTCTCGTTGTTGAAGAGATCGTGGTACTGAGTCTTCATCATCTTGTAGGTGTAATTCTCGAGCGAGCTCTTTCTCAAAGACATTGGGCTGATCAGTCTGTCTTGCACCGCTGATGCAAGTTAGTCCGCGTCTGAGATTATGTCACAAAGCGAGACATGAAGTTGTCAATTCAAAACGTCAAAAATGAGATGTGTAAATGTAGATATCTGCAACATGCCTTCAAATCTCACAGCGCGCCATTTTGACAGGGGGCTGAGGGAATGGCTCCCCAGACCCAACGCAGTAGGGTGGGTGACGCGAGTCACAGGGCGGGCTCGAAATGACAGAAGAATCATGGCAGAGACAAGCAAGCCGTGCAATAGTTGATGCAAAGACCAAGCTCAAACATGGTCAACTAACGTGCAGTACGCTACGAACACTCCGCCATGCTTGCAAGACAGAGCTGTCACTTCGTGAAAGCTTTCGTCTTGCACCGCTGATGCAAGTTAGTCCGCATCTGAGATTATGTCACAAAGCGAGACATGAAGTTGTCAATTCCAAAACGTCAGAAATGAGATGTGTCAATGTAGATATCTGCAACATGCCTTCAAATCTCACAGCGTGCCATTTTGACAGCAGGGGCAAATGTCCAACTGATTCCCGAGCTTACGTGTGCCCGGAGTTGGCCCCTGTTAATGGCACACAAGGGAAGCTGAGTGGATTCGCATGCAACTGAAAAACAGCCTTGATCAGTGCGTCAGGGACCCGAAAAGGATCTGACTCTCTGAGACCCAGCAGAGTGGCGGATGCCCTCACTTTGCCCCTGGGTTTGAAAAAGATGTCACCCGTTCATACCAGACCAGAGATGGGTCCTGCGCCTCAAGATGTTGCAGGACTCTGGCCATGGCCTGCAGGGAAACTGAACGGGAAGTCCCTTTGACGCAGGCAAACCGAGCAGCATGATTATCGATCCATGCAATTGTGAAACGATTGGAGAGGGCGTCACTGAAAATCCATCTTATTGCCAGAAATGCAAACATCTCAATTTGGCAGATCAATTGGTCACCTACCTCATCGAGCCAGAGCTTCACAAGCTCATCCGGCACAGCGATTGACGCAACAACGCCGCCGCCCTCCTGAGGAAAGTACATGGCCACACCAGCAGCCACGCCGCTCTCCCAGGCGCCATCAGTGAAGATTAGAATAGGTAACTTCACCGACACGACAGAATAGACGCGAGGCTTCAATGACCGAAGCATGCACATGGCCAGGTCACATAGCTGCCTCAACTCCTCACTCGAAATTGCACGCATGTCAACCATGCGATCAAAAGAGGCCACGAGGAAGCCCAAACCCGGAAGATGTAAAACCCCGAGGCAAAGTTGAGACGCTTGTCCCTCCGCTGCCTGAGCTCGGGAGATCACACCATGATCTTTGATTGCCTGGAGCATTTTGCAAATTCGCTCAACCCTGGTCCTTTTGTTACCCAGCACAAAAGACCCTCTGTCTAAGCGACCCAGTTGCTAACGCCGAAAATTCGGCAGCGAAATCAACCGCCTTGTGGCCCAGCCAAGCAAATTCAGGACAGTTGAAATAGCCGAAGTCAGAATCGGAGCACTTGCCTCCAGACTGATGGTCGGGAAGTCATCGTAAAAGCAAGTACACATTGCCCTGAGGAAGTGGGACAAAATCTGGTGGAGCGATCGGCTCAGCCGGTTAAAGCCGCAAACCGACGCCGCTGCTCCAAAAGGTAATACGCCACAAAGGTAAAACTTCCACTCCCCGCCAAAAGGGTACCCAACAACGCACAGTTTTGTGGAGGTTGGGTGAATCGCTAGCTGTTTGTAAGCTTTGGACAGGTCCACAGTTCTGCCCATCCCCCGCAAAACAGTCCCGTCGGCCATGCTGAGCAAGGCAGTTCCCGCGGCAATGCTTTCTCCAACTGTTCCAATCAAACAAGCCAGCGTGTCCACATTTATGAGCTCGAGACGAAAATTGACCGAGTACGTCGAGTTCAGGGAGGATCTTCTGCAGCCGTCAATGATCCTGACCTTTTTCTCCTCACCTTGATAAATTGCAAAGCGTGGATTTAGCAGCCAATGGTCTGTGCCGAAATGTTCAGATTTGTCGATAAGAGAATGGCTGGGTTCGCTCTGCAAAGTCAGAAC